AGATGTTTCAATTATGGGGTGAAATGGCTACTCTGAGGCACTATGGCTTGGTTATAGCTGATATGTTGAGTCTAATGATGACATATTCCAACTGAGCTCCGTAACCTTGGAGAGACTCTGACCCCTAAAACCGTGGATCAGCATGAGAGACCAGCTGGACGTTATGGAGCTCATGAGCCCATAAGCGATTATTAGTGCGATGCTTATCAGTGACAGTTTCGGTAACACAGATGCCCTGAACCCTTGAGACAGTGGCATAAAATAGAAGGCACCAACAGCGGCTCTGCATTATTTACTGACACAGGATCATCTGAAAACACAGGGTGAAAAGTGATCGTTATCCCCCAAAATGAACATAATCATGCTAATGTTCATTTAACCAACTCTATTTCTTATGTGAAACATGGATACGTTTGGAAAAATTGTCCTCACCAAGTAAAATAAAAGTGAATACAGACTAGAGGTTGTTATAAATGTGTAAATGGTGACGAAACATAGGAAAGATGAGTTTAATTCGGGTTCGATGACATTAATAGGCTATGCACTCACGGCCACTTTATTAGGTACACCTTACTAGTACTGGGTTGGACCCGTTCCCGTTTCACCACATCCCAAATGTGCTCTATTGGATTGAGGATCTGGTCACTGGAGGCTAATTGAGTACAGTGAACATTGTCATGTTCAAAAAACTAGTCTGAGATGATTCACATTTTTTTCACATGGCGTGTTATCCTGCTGGAAGTAGCCAACAGAAGATGGGTACACTGTGGTCATAAACGGATGGACATGGTCAGCAACAATATTCAGGAAGGCTGTGACATTGAAACAATGCTCCATTGGTACTCATGGACCCAAAGTGTGCCAAGAGAATATCCCCCACACCATTACACCACCAGCAGCCTGAACCGTTGATACACGGCAGGATGGATTCATGCTTTCATGTTATTGAGGCCCAATTCTGACCCTGCCTTCCAAAAGTTGCAGCAGAAATTCAGACTCATCAGACCAGGCAACATTTTTTCCAATCTTCTATTAGCAAAGACAGAACAACCCATAATGGGTGTAACTTTGGGTGGAGACATCCAATACAGGCAGTGATGATGGTCCTCCAGGAAAGCGGTTGAGAAACACTGATCTATATTATTATCCAATAGCATTTGACAAATTTTACTTTTACAAATATATATATATAGCAGTGGCGCAGTAGATAATGCTGTCGCCTCACAGCAAGAAGGTCGCTGGTTTGAACCTCGGCTCAGTTGGCGTTTCTGTGTGGAGTTTGCATGTTCTCCCTGCGTTCGCGTGGGTATCCTCCGGGTGCAACATGCACATAAATAGTGTCTTGTGCCAAAAAGTGTGATTAAACTGCATTGTGGGGACTCCCACACCTAGCAAGTTTACATGCAGATAACAAGAGTAACTGTCAGGATGCAGACTTGGTGTAGTTGCATGGTGAGCTGCATGGAATCCTTTTAATGCACACACCTAACCTTACCGCTCACCGTGACATCACTAGCTGCATTAAGTCCATTGTGTCAGACATTGCAAGTCTGAGATATGCAGTCTCAGCTTGCAAATCAAAGTCTATATTGTTAAGTAACTTGCACTTTGAAACCGGTTTTAAAATATTGTCAAGCCCAAAAATGAAGTTGTCGTATAAATGAATGATTAAAATTACACTTTTTAATTGAAAACTGTATCATGCATACACCCCATCGGTTTCCATTCCACAGCTACTTTACAACTGTCCACCTAAGCGACATCAAAATGATTGACTGACACTTGAATACTGTTATAGTAACACACATTTGAGCCTTCACAAGAACCAGCTTAGGATTTTTTGTGTGCTTTTTATGTTCACCCATCAGTGTTTAAATGCGAATAAAAACTTATATTAAGACAATTTATCACAATAAAAAAAGGATTAAAATGTTTGATTCTCCACTAAATCTTTAAATTGTCAGATGTTTTGATGTATAAACCCTTAATAGAAGGACAAAAGTCTCAGTAACACTTTGTTTTGATGGTCCATTTGAGTATTAGTAGACTGCTTAATATCTGCTCCTTCAACAGACATTTAACTGACTTTAAGAAACGTTGCAAGTACATGTCAACTTAACACTAACTCCAACCTAACAGTCTACTTATAAACTAATGAGAATTAGTTGGCATGTAGATGCAGTGTAACTTAAATTCAACAACTGGACCATCAAAATAAAGTGTGACCAAAATCTCTTGTATGTTCCAAACTTGAACAAAATAGGTTTGCATTGACATGAGAGACAGTAAATGACTGGATTTTCATTTTGGGATGATCTAACCCTCTAGAGTGAAGATCATGCTTGAAAAATGTAGATTTGAGTTAATCGTTCAGTCTTTCTAGACAGAAATGAATTGAATGGACTGTGCAGCGTTCAGCCCAGCTGCTGACTCAGAACCTGTCCACGTCCAAATGTCAATGTGCTGATGGATAAGTCTGCAGTCAAACATAAGTGACTGATACCGGCGCAAACAAAGGCATTGATGGAGGCAGTCCTCCTCAGAAGTGCTCAATCCTTGCCTTTAAATGCCAGAAGTAATAATGGAGCACCCCGAGTCACCTCGTTCTGGGACTATTCTGACATACTTGTTTCCAAGAAGGTTGAGCTACTTTTATTAAATGCCACGGCGCATGATGCCTTATGAACCTTATAAATGACTCTTGAGATCTGCCTTATGATTGATTTACTCAGAAATATCACATCATTCAACAAATGTATATCATCCAACATGGCTAACAGGCCTACAAGCTACAGTTACCATTTAAGGTTAACAACACAAATCTATCCTGCCATATTGGAAGGGGAAGCGGTCTTGAACTCTGGATTGCAGAATTTTGCATCAATCCTAAATAAATCTGAACGCAGCTAATCAGGGTCTTTAAGATTAATTGGAGCTGGTTGTGTTGATCATCAGTATTTATTTATTTTGATTACTTCATATCACTTACCAAACTGGCTGATGTGCATTCACACCATTACTTATATTAAAACGGTTAGTAACAACATTGGCTTTGATGCATTGTTATTTTCAGTTTTTCTCCCTAGTTTACTGTTGGTCGCTGTTTTTGCCCGGTTGACTTCCATTATAACCACCTTTGATGGTGCATAAATACACAGTCTTTGTTTTTATTTACTCCATATAGTTCTGTAGAGAGTAGAGATGCATATTTTGATTTTCTCAGACACATCAAGTGTGTAAAGGTCACTCACAGACACACACTTCAATTTGCTGTTATACTCCAAATAAAATACAGAAACTAAGCTTTTTTTTTGCACTGGCCTATCTACAGGTTTAATGGTGCCAAATGATGATCAACAGAAAAAATGCTAATTTGATCTCTTCCCTAATGGAAAACCACCAACAATAAAAATTGCATAATTATATGGTGTTATGGTTTCAAAAATCAAATAAAATGTGGCTATAATGAAAGTCAATGGAGGGTAAAAACAGTCACCAACAGTAAATTAGGGGGAAAAAAAAAGGAAATCAATCAAAAACAATCCATCATAGTCAATGTTGTTTCACATGTCCAAGATGTTATAAAAAGGTAAAAAGAAATCCAGTCCACACTTGCTTTTTACATTGAAAATATGTCATTTTGTTTGTCACCAAATCAGTGATATCATTTTGAATTTGGCAATTAAAGAGTTAAAGTCCTGTCATTTTCTAAGCAATTTAATAGTTTTGATCAGGGCTGAGATTGATTAACAGATTTAAGAAAAAAAAAACAAAAAAGTATCTGATGCACTTTACAGCGGTTTAATTCAGTGGATGTTTTCATTCCAAACATAACAAAACGGTAGTCAATTTGCCCAGAGTGTATCGTTGAGTTTTTTTTTTTTTAATACAAAGCATTTACTCAAAATATGGGTCAAAAAAGATGTCACCAAAAATCATTCTGCCAGCTGAAACACAGAACAAGTTATGGCCAAATTAAAACACAAAACCCCCCAAGAGTGGATGAAAACATCCCCAACAGTACATAAGGGTTAATATATACACTACACAGTTAAAAAAAAGTTAATGACAAAGTCAAGACATCAAATATTGTTTTGTTGCTTTAACTTATTTTATTGCTTCTACTTAGTTTAACTTAATATTTTTAGTGAGAAAATTTAATTTATTTAGATTTAACTTTTTTTTTTGTTTGTTTAGCTGAGGTTATTTACTTATGTTTAGTACTGTATTCGGTTTCTAAGTTACTGAATGTCTTTTTTCCATTGAACGGTGGTGTTCTGATGATCTGTGCTACCTCATCAGAATGTGCTACTGGTTGCTCAATCAGTCATATTTCATCTACAAAAACAGGGTTAGCACATCTGGTCAGCTCCAAATGTCAATCGGAATGAATTACCACTCTAATAAACAAGTAAAATTAATGAAATAAAAAACTAACAATTAAGGCAGTAGTAATCTGATAGACATTTAAAGCTGCAACACCTTTTTCTACATTGTTCACTGGAGTAGTAGTTCATTTCGAGGGGTAGCACATATTGTCTGCTTCAAATATCTATCGAAATGAACTACTACTCCATTGAACAATGTAGAAAAAGGTGTAGCAGCTTCAAATGACTATCAGAGTAAACTACTGCCTTTATTTTCAGTCTTTTTATTTCATTAGTTTTATATTTAATGTTTTTATTAGTGGTAGTTCATTCCGTTTGACATTTGAAGCTGACAAAATAAAGCACAAGGCTTTAGCGCCCTCTAACGGCTGAAACCGAACAACACTACAAGGACAGGTTGCTTCTTCAGTTGATGTGGACTCAAACAAATAACGTTTTTAACCAAGCTTATCACTTGTATAATCCAAATCATTTATTTTCTTTTCCAGTAACATCAATGTTTTTCCAGGAATCACAGAAAAGTTGATGTACATTAGGTTAGAAACCAAGCCAAAACTCTGTAAACAATACAAAAACATAATACAAAGAGGTAAGATGTGAAGAGAGACGATAGAGGAATAAAAAGTTCTTTTTTTTAAGCTGAAAGAAATTGACAGGCATTTCTTTGCCAACACAGGTCAAATTGCACATAAATTTCACAAATTAACAGAAGGGAAATGAAGTATTTCCCAAAACAAATCCACACATCACAACAATGGCAGTAATCCTGATGTTACTTACACTACTATTTTGTTTGTTGATTTTTTTTAGCATTTACATTTTTCCATTCTACTTGTAGCTATTATTTATCTAAACCAACACTCAAAAAGATACCAAAATGTGCAGCCTGTCCATGCTGACCTTAAAAGAAAACTGCGGGGGAAAAACAGTCTGTGTGTCACCATATAAAAGCAATGAGACAGATGACAGTATAGAAGCAGTGTGAAGGACAAGAGGCAGAGGACAGTAATTGAAGAAGTCTAATATAAGTGTTAATGTTGTACAAAACCGAATTCATAAGTGAAGTCCTGATGAACGTGATTCTCATTTGTGATGCAGACGAGTGGCTTTGAATTTGGACATCCTTTTTGGGAGCTCTTGAGGCACATCTGGCACCACCTCCTCCAGTTTTCTCTCTGGGATTGTGGGAAGGGCAGGTGGGGCGATGGTCAGGTGAGGGATTGAGCAAGGTAAGGGATCCTTTTCAATCACTGTGCCAGTAAAAGCCTAAAACACAAAAAGGCACTTAAATATTTGATGATATTATTTTCGCCTGAGCAAGAACACAAGCAAAACTCGCTGCTGTGATTCTAGGGCAAACTTAACAGGCAACAATGTAGTCCATGTCAGAGGGATGTTTAAAAATAATTATATAAAAATGTGTTAGTCTATCTACTTTAGATTTTATTGAAAAATTAGTTAGAAGACATTGTACAGTTGCTTGAGATGCATTTTGGAAATTTAAGATAAAAAGGGCATGGAATTATCACCTGATATACTATTTGCTATAATATTTAAGTATTGTTGAGCAAACTAAGGTTTCAAAAGAAATGTACTTTGGCCTACACAAATGAGACATTTTCTTCAATCCAGCACTCACTAAAAAGGGGTTTTGCTATGTGATTACTTCAGTGTTGATTTTTCTAGGCTCTTCTGTGTTGTTTCTGCTGCAAATCTGTAATTTTTAAAGTTTGAGATAAAAAAAAAACTCCTGAATTGTAGTTTTAGCTCATTTTAAACAGGCAGTTTGAACGGCAAACATAATTTTTTGATTGTATAGACTCCAGACATTCTCAACTTCTGAGGCCTTGAGGGCCAAATATCAACCACATGAGAAACAGGGGGCCACTTACATATTGAGAGTGTTTTATTATTTTAAAGAAGGCTTTTGACAGATGAGGCACATTGGTTTTCCATGCACCTCTATAAAAGCTAATTCACATTACTATGCAGGGTTAAAAATCCGGTTTTCATTATCCGCTTTTTTTCTTTTGGTCACCTTCAAAGTACAGTAAAATGAATTGAAATGTTCCATAGGGATTGGGTGGCGTTCACGGTAGTCTCGTGACAGGTTGTGAAATTATACTTGTTTAATTAACATTTTTATTAAAAAATACAGGTATATACCCATTTGTTTTGTCGACATTGCAGCATATTTTATAAAGCATTATAAAAGTGTAAAAAAAATTGTGTGCTTCATAGTGGTGTAACGGTACACTGGAGTCACGGGTTGGTATGTAACTCGGTTTTGCCGTCATTATTTGGTACAGGTACAGTACAATAGGAATAACAAATCTCCAGTACTTGCCTTTTCAGTTTATTTTAAACAGGCAGAAGTGTTTTGTCACATTCAACTAAAGAGCTGAAGAGCTTCTTGTGATTCAAAAATACAAATTAATCACGTTAAGTAAATATAAAACTTTATAATCTGCAAATTAGGCATTTCTAGTTCAAAAAATAATCTCAGCCCTTTAAAACAACGGAACAACAATAATAATATATTAAATTTAAGATTCAGTTAGCTTCAAAACTGAAATCTTTTATTAAATGCACGTAAACAGAACCGTGACCATCTGTGACGGTTTGGGATGAATGCATGTACCGTTAACATCCCTAGTGCAGCACTACATGCAGCAACATGAGAGCTGATCAGTATGCAGGCCACATTTTAAAGAGCAATGGGTCGTCTGTTGAAAACCTTGGGTATAGACTAACCCCAACGTCCCCACGTTTTCTAGTAAACAACACCTAATTAACTAAATGACTTCTTCAGAAGAGTAACAATTTTGCACCAGATACAATTTAGATTACAGCAACTGCAACATGATTACAAAGGATCTCCTGTGGGATTGATGGTCCCATAATTAAAAGACTTGATTGTGAGCTACATACATTGATATAGAGTTAGAGGCTTAAAGCTTAAAGTTGCAATGAATATGAGGTACTGTTTACACTAGTGCTAACTATACGTTTTGTAATATCCTGGCATCCACCCTTCTCCGACATCTTTGTCCTGCAAAAATGAGCATTTGAAAATGCTGAAGTTTTAGTTTAGAAATGCTGGTGTACTGTTTCAGTAAGACAGACTGAAACGCAAAGTTTTAAAATTGAAATGGCTATCCACAGTTCATCTCTGACTGGTCCTCTGGATTATTGCGTATCGTTCCCTGATTTGTCAATTCGTCATCACACAATCTGTTCCCTCACAGTTTCACAACTGGTAGACGGCATTTACAGATGTCAGCAAAATATGCACATGCCCAGTGAGTGTGAATGGTCATGCATTTTACACAGTATATTGTAAACAGAAATCATTTTCCTGAAATACAGTAGGAGTAAAAACATGGACCAGTGTTTTCATTGTATAATGACACTTTTAAAAAACGCAGACTAGTCTAAACGCAGTTTGAAGTAGTAACAGTGTCTGTATTGAGACAGATTATCATAAAATAAAGTAAAAAATATGGTGGGACGTTATACATGCTCGATGAGGACTCAATGGGACAGTTTACACAAGGAAGGAGACAATTCTCTAATCATTTACTCATCCTCCATTTGTTCCTAACCTGTTAGACTTTCTTTCTTCTGTTGAACACACAAGATATTCTGAAGAATGCTGGAAAAAAGCAGCCAATGACTTCCAAAATATTTTTGTTCCTACTATGAAATGGCTTCTGGTTCTTCAGAACAGTTTAAAATCACTTGAGTGTATGTTTTAATATTTGGGTGAACAGTGCCTTTAAGCTGCACACATGATTGGAAAAGTCTTGCATACATCATTAGATAAAAGTTTAAAACCTTGCAATCAGACAACAGATCTATTTTCAGCATTTGAATAGAGGCGTACCTCAAAGCGTCCGTTCATGTGGGGACTTGTCCCAGTCGGGCTGTCCTCCTCTGTAATGCCATCGCTGGTATCGCTGTGTGTGGCGTCATCATGGCTCCATGATCGTCCAAAAGCTGCCCGCCGCTCTTCAAAGTCTGCTGTGCTGCTCTCGCTGGTGTCGCTGCACACACTGTTCTCACGGCTGCGCGACTTCAGAATGGACTTTCGAGGTATTGGTTCTCCATTCACCAGGTCCACAAACACCCTAAAACACACACACAGAAAGTGTTGAAACGGAAGAGCTAGAAACACACTAGAAAAAGGAAGACGAGACTAAAAGTGAATGAATGTTTCCTGTTACCTATAAATGTCTGCTGGGCTTGTGATCTTGTAACTTTCAAGAGGAGAGTGGCCACTGCTTTTGCCACTTTTCTTTTTATGTTTGGCTTGCTCTTTTTGTTCTTTTCTTTCGCTGAACTTCAGGGTGGTGTTCTTTCCTGTGTTTATCCTTACCTTTAAAAGGGCAAAAGAAAAATAAATGAATTATGCAAAAGGTTTTGATTTTAAGACATACATGAGAAAGAAATTGAATTAAAAAAATGTTTTTTAAAAAATGGGTTGGGGTTGAATTTAACAGAGTAAAAACCATCATTTTCCCTTCATTGAGCAAGTAACCATTCATTTGAACTCATTGAAATTAATCACAAGGATGATTTTTCAGTTTTTAAAGAAAAATTACCAAAAAAACTCAAAAGTCATCCAATAAAACATTTGGAGTATTTCAATCAGTGGCCTATAAAAAAACACTACCATCCGTACAACCTCAAAAATAATGTTCTGTTTTTAAAAATTTTAGTTTTTAAAAGGCATCAGTTTTCGTGGTGTCAGATGATCCTTATCATTTTAATAAGCTTATTTACAAAGAATAACTTATTATTATTTGCAGCTGGAAGGACATTCACTATGTAAAACATGTTAGATAAGTTGGCGGTTTATTCCACTGTGGGGGCTCCAGATTAATAAAGGGACTAAGCCGAAAAGAAAATGAATGAATAAACATCTTACTATCATTTACCCCATGGGTTCCCAAACTTTTCAGTCTATCACTCTCAAATTAACAATGCCAGTGACTTGTGACCCCCCCAATATGCTCTGAGGTGGTTATACATATACAAACCTTGTATGCAACAACGCGCACACACACACACCAATAGTCCCAAGTCTATTTTTAATTTAATTTTGTTGATCAAGTTTGCAAGTTTAGTTGTGGCCTGTATTTATTTTTAATGTACGCGAGTGGCGTAAAACTTTATCTTGGTTCCACAAAATCAATCTGCCGCATCTGAAGCTATAGCTGTGTCTTTAATATAACATAATCATGTAATTCTCTTTCATTTGTTGGATGGAAACGCTGCTTTATTAGCAAATATTTTATGCAATATTCCAGTTTTGTGCATAGATTTAATTCTCATCTTTGGGAGAAAACATAGCTACTGACTTCCATAGTTGGAAAAAAAATGCTATGCCAGTCAATGGCTACTGTTTCCAACATTCTTCAGAATATCCTATTTCGTGTTGAACAGAAAAAAAAAAAACTCAAACAGGTTTTAAACAAATGTAGGTTGAGTAAATGATTTCAATTTGACGCTCTTTAAATGAATTATTAAATCTATAATGATTAAAATCTTTTTTCAATATAGCTTTTGTAAAAAACTAATCTAAAAGGAATTTCTGAGGCTGTTGACAAACCTTTTTGAATTCCACAGTGTGAGAAAAGTAGATAGTTGGAAGACCATTGTCAGTTTCCTCTTCACAGTCTTCATCATCCTCCTCCTCCTCAGGGTGCGAGCCATTAGTGCCGTTCATCTGAGCTGTGAGAGATGATGCTTTCCAGCCATTTTCCTTCTGATGGCCATTAACCTGGACATCACTGCCACCATCTGCTTCCTTCTCTTCCTCTGAGGAGGAAGTGGTGTCTTCTCCATTAGTGTCTGTGCTGTCCAATCTGGTATAACAGGGAGAAACAAAATAGACTAAATCTGTGAGTGTACTACTAAAAATCTGCAGCTAAAAGTTTTAGAGAGTACTTTTCTGTATGTCTACTGCATTTTTTTATTTACTTATGCATATTTGTGAGTTTGTGATTAATGGATAAGAATTGATTTTTAAAAAAATGTCGATCTTACTTAAGCATGCTAAAAAAAGAAATCTCTTGAATAAATCTTTGTACAAATATGTAATTAAAATCACAATTAAACGGTAAAAATATAGTAAATACAGTGGTGAAAATAAGTATTGAACAAGTCACCATTTTTCTCAGAAAATATTTTAAGGGTGCTGTTGACTTGACATTTTTCCAAGATGTTGGTAATAACTAGGTAAATCCATATATGCAAAGAAAACCAATATAATTAGACTAGAAATTGAGTTATGCGAAGCAAAATGAAATGATGCAGGGAAAAAAGTATTGAACACATGAAGAAAGGGAAGTGTAAAAAGGCAGTGAAAGCCTAGACAGCAGCTGAAATCTCTCAGTAGTTATTTAGCAACCTTCTGCCCTTCATCATTTAAATGAGTATTAGCTGCTTTAGTCCATCATTTACATTATCAGCATGATGAATATGAAATCAGGGTGGACATTTCAGCAAACACAGCTAAGGAAACTCTTAAATGGTTTTAAACAAAGAAAATCAAGCTGTAGAATGGCCCAGCCAATCCCCTGACCTGAATCCAAAATAAAATACAAACTAAAGACCATCAAGCTTCTTACACTGTTGAAATCTGTGAAAAACCTCACAACAGAGAGTCTTTAAGATGCCATCACCAAAAAAGTATTTTATTTAAAGTGTTAAATACCTTTCAGTAGTTCAGTACTTTCTCCATGTGTCATTTTATTGTTTATACACAGAACTCATTTTTCAGATTTATTTTATTTAGTTTTATTTTTATGTTTGTATTATTTGGGTTTTTACCTAAATCTGTTTCAATACCATGTCAACACCTTTAGAAATATTATTCCCAGCAAAAAAACATGGTGTGTTCAATACTTATCGTCCCTGCTTTATATTAAACATTATTTCTTTTATTTTTCTATTTAAATTTGATTGACTTGATACATTTTAAAATGTAATCCATTCATGTGATATAAAAAATACATTTACAGCATCATTTTTCCAGGCTTTAGTGCAACACAACCTATAAAAAAGTATTCCAATTACGGTTGTCACAATACTGGAATTTGATACCACTGGGTACTGAGATTTTAAAAACCGGTGAACCGATGATTTTTGCTGCCAATCACAGTCATTTCTGTTGAGCATTTGAACACAATGGCAAATCAGCATGCTCCACAGTGCCTAAATGTTTGCGGAAAATAAACGTTTTAAAAATTTCAGTACCGACTGGTATTGAATTCCAGTATTGAGACAACCATAATTCCAGTATGCTGCCTTTGAGTTCAATAAACATTTCATATTGTAAATATATAAAACAACTATTTCATATTTTTACTGATTTTTTTTTAAACACAGAGTTAGTTGACGAGTGTTTTTACCGGAATCTCTGGTCCTGCAATTCCTCCTGTCTCTCTAGTTCGTCAAGTCGAGCCCACAGCTCCTCCTCTGACAGCACTTTTGCCTTTCTCTCTTCATCGTCATCATCATCTTCTTCTTCTTCATCTTCTTTCTCCTTGTTATCTTTCAGCTCCAATATATATTCCTGCTTTGGCTTAGAGTTGGGTTTGTGGGCCAAGCGATGTTTTCCTGGCAGTTCAACTTACTGATTAATAAAAGATACAAACAGCCTAATAACGCTTAAAGATAACCTGAATATATTAGATTTACCTTTGGTAATTTCCTCCTCATTTACTACCTCTTCTCTTATGTCCACATAATCTCCAGTCTCCTGTTAAGAAAGTAATAATGTGATGTTTCCATATAAAATCACACAGTAATGAGGTCATGCTACGGACACTTACGCCAGACAATTTTTTAAGGTCATCTGTAAAATCGGCTCTGTTTTGAAAGTTCTTTATCACTTTTTGTAAGTCGTCTAGTGCATTTTCGACATCTGGAGAACAAGCATATATGTCAGGTCAATGGATTAATTGGCTAAAGTGATATATTAGTAGAAAAATGCGAACTCACGTTTCTTTCTGTGTTCCACAAGTGTGTCGGCTTGTTTGGCAGAACATTTTGCGAACCAGTTATCCCCGAGGAGCACCGTTACCTCATTAGTGTGAACTAACTTCCCCGGCATGAAAGCCAAGGGACCAAATGGTACCTACAGTGTAAAAAACACCATATAATGAGCATGTTAAGGACTTCTAACAAACATGGACTTCGAAAAAATGTGACATGCAAAGGCCCATTCATATAAAAAACAATAACTATAGATAGATAGATAGATAGATAGATAGCTATAATGTCATCAAAATCAACACATATTATCATTGTTATTATGAGCATGTGCTGCAATTATGTTGTCTGTAGAGGAGTGAGATAATTATTGTGTACGATAATACTGTAATTGTCATTTTAATGATGTGCTGTTTAACAACGTCACTCACAAAAACATCTTACAGATTCTAAAAGGAGTCAGTGTGTGATGAAGATTATTAGGATGCACTTAAAATGACTCTATAATTAAAGTTATGAAAACGAAAATGCCAACCTAAACCGGAACAGAATATCTCAGAGGAAGATTTCAGTTTTTTAATTCAGATTAAAAAGATTAAAAGGCGGGTGAGTGTGACGTAACTGTTTTTTCATTAGAGTTCAAAGGTTGCCGTGTCCAAATGCTTCGTGATTTCCAAAAATCTCATATATGTTATTAAACTATTAGAATGATCATATTTTATCAGTTATTATATTTTATTTGTGACCCCTGGGGTTCTTATGCTAGATTAACATCACAGCAATAGCGTTAGTTGCAGCAGATTGATTTTGCAGTACAGTATTAAACTGTCGCGAGGGACTTGAGTTGTTATTTTAGGGGCTGCGGGCCATGACAAGTTGATTTAAAAAAAGCACCTAAATAGTTTTGCAACTTGCGATTTTTTCCCCCAGTTGAATAAAATATTTTTTATTAATATATTTCACCGTTAAAGATATTTTAAATAGTGTAAAAATAATGTCGTCTTGTTCTCATGAACCCAATCTCATGGAGTAAGCATCTAGTCACACCCCTACCATTCATAATTCCTTTCTTTGTTTCTAAATAAATCAGTCGTTTTCAATAAATCACTAGAATGAGTGTTTAATTGAATTATAATTCAGGGATGGATGATCCAAATCCATGTTTTTCAGAACCAATGCGATAGCAAAAATTCAATATTGGCTGAAAACGATAAACATGATTTACCTGTGGAGAATTACTATCCCTGTAATAATTTAAGATGTAGATTATTAGATAATCTTTCTTGTTTATTAAATGCAACCAAATAAATACAAGCTTTCTACAGGTTTTTAGAGTTCTTCAACATATATTCTTTAGTGTTCAGCAAAAGAAAGAAACACACAGAGGTTTGGAATCACTTGAGGTAAAAAGTCAGTAAATGTTCATTTTATGCTTTTTAAAAAGTGCCCTCATACCATAATATCATAAGACAGCTTGTCAGGTAAGGTCCTGAGGCGATCTTGAAGAGATTCATAGTCTTTTCCCACTTTTTCCCTGTCAGTCACAGAGAAAAACAAATCACTTAAAAAGGAAAAAACTTGTTTGTTGCCATACGATTTCTATTTCTGTCCCATCTGCTGAATGTCTTTTTAAAATACTGACAAGGCATATAAAAAGACCTGCCAAATCTTTTGTCATAACCATCAAACGTCTATATAGAGAGTATAAATAGCATTTCAATTCTAAATATAAACATGATACAAGTAATAAATCATTAAATAAGCTTCTGAGAAACATTGACATTGATGATAATGTTATGGACAACGAAACTTGCTGAACTACACGAGGACACTCACCAGTGCTCAATTTGACTTCTGCAATCTTTTACCACCTGTTGTGGAAACACAGACAATGCATCATTTCATAACTACTGAAATATTAAAAATACCACAGACAACAATTAACAACCACTGCTAAATTATCAGTAATGTTTTAGTAGCGTGAATTGGCCATCACAGAGAATGACAGTCCTGAAAGTTCCTTGTGAAAAGTGGGACAAGCCTTTACATATTATTCCCATTCATGTCATTTCTCAATAAAATCAGAGTAAATGTTACATTTTTTTTTTTTTTTGCTATTGAATGTTTTTTTTTCAATTTCCATAAAAGGAATGAGGTTATTTCAGAGTGACTGGCAAAACAATGACAGTTTCAAGGTTAATTATGTGCTAAACTACTAAAATAATGTGATGATAGTAGGTTAATTATAACTTCCAATGTAAATACTGGTGTGGAATATGCAAGATCTTTACAGATTCTACAGGTAAATGACAAGATGATGTCAAAAAAATTTAAATAAACACACAAACACACACGTTTTGTTTGGCTGTACGATATTCTGCTATATCAGCACTTGTACAGCCTTCATACTCTTCTGTATTATTCCGCCCACATAGAGTGACAGCAGATGAAAAAACTTACTACAGATTGACAAATATAAGGGTTTTGGACAACATAATGTACTTTTGAGGTGAGAATGTAGTTGTTTAGATTGCAACTTTGCAGTTTATTTATAAGGATAGTGGCAATTTTAGAATATTTATAATTTCTGAGAGACCGTTAGCCTGTCACTGAGCAAAGCATAGACGGTTGACGTTTTGCTACAGAATGGCGACAAAAACCTCGATAAGTGCTTAGGGGAGGAAAAATTCAGCAAAAATAAAAATAAAAAAAATCAAATTACAGCTGATCAAATCATTATAAATAAGTGTCACTAAGTTGATGTTTCTCTTTTGTATGTTGTAGTGCTGTATTTATACCATAGTAATCTGGTTGCATTTGCGTTGCTTTGGTTTTTTCGGGGTTAATTATTGTGATCCCCCAATCGCAACAGAGAAATACTGGGAAATCTCTAAACATTGATGGCATTTCATGCCGTTCATCCTTATAATCTTAAAATGTGAGCAAAATGACCTGTTTTGTCATCACTTTAGACATTACGCTAGAGAATCCTTTAAATACTAGCTCTAAAGTGACGTTAGTGAATTAGCACAGGTTTCTGCTGTTCTGATGTCAGGTGCAGATGTGAATAATTGCCAGAAGAAGGTAGTTCCTCATACAAAAGTGTTTTTGAGAGACTCCGGTAGTCTTATGCCACTGAACTGTTGAACTCGTGGCAGTGTGATATGGCTGTATATCGTCACTGGTGGGACACTAAGGCCAAAGGGTACCAAAAAAGAGGTACGGTTCGCTTTTAGGTAACTTTTGACATTTTAAATGGCCATAAAAGCATTCCGAATACTAGGTAATGTCAAATAGAACTTTATAATTCTAAGGTGACGAGATTATATATATATATATATATATATATATATATATATATATATATATATATATATATATATATATATATTAGACACACACAATTATAAAACAAACTTTTGTAATATAAAGAAACTAAATTTATGACAAAGTAGTAAATGAATGATAGAATGATACTGGCAGAGAATATGGATTAAAAGTTACAAATACTTTGTGTTTTGGGGTTGCACTGTAATGCTTAGGACTAGGAGTATTTTAATGTCATCAAATGATACATGTTCTAAATATACCTGCCAATATACAGTATATTCTACTTGGTATAAACTTCTGTTATGGTAAAATATTTTTTATGGGTGTCTTAAGCTAAATGTGGCCATAATAATAAATGTAATAGACAAAGCTATAATTATTATTTTGTTGCTCAGGGATTCTAAAACAGTTTTTTTTTAAAACACATCTTTGCTGTAAAGAAAGCAGGTCAAACGTAATTTTCAAATCCAGCCAACTGGGTGTTTATCTTCAACTGTGAACAAATGGGGTCAAAGACATTGTGTGTATGACATTCACCTATTCTTTTCACTCCATGCACATAGAAATGGGTCAATTAAACCTTACCTTCACAGGGAGTCGTTTCCATTTCATTGCCTACTCTAAAAGTACTTTAAGCTTTTACTTGCTCTATACATTAAGGCAACGTGGGCATGTGCCATGTGGTTGATTAAATTGGAGTTAACGTCACATGTAAAGTTTTCTACTAACATCAAGATAAGCTTCATGTAAACACATACACGTGGATTTTACAGCAAAGTATTAAAAACACATGCAAACAAAAATGCAGTAACTGCAAAAAGAAAACCAACGGCAACACGTGATACAGAGAGAACTTTCCAGAGAATGAAACGGGCAACGCTGCAAATATACAAAATAAACGACATTAAAATCGACGACAAATCTTTCAAACGCTGATGACAAATCACGTTTATGAACATCAACAATAATATCTGCAGGAATGCATTGTTGTTATGGAAATAAACATTACTCCTGACCTTCCTGTGCTCATCTTTCAACCTCTCCACGCCTCGAGGCAAATCTCTCGTACTCCGTTTGACTTTCCCAACTGCAGCCATTTGCTCGTGCATCCACAATCAAGCAAGGTTTTTGTGTGATTAAATATCCAAAACAATGAATGCTCAGGGGTTTGAAGTCCTATAGAAATGTTTATGAATGCAATGTGATGCGTTGCACTCAATTTGTCGCCTCGTAGTCATCAATGAAGCAGAACGAGTCGTCCAGTATATCGAGATTGAGACCATTTCACACGTGCATGGTACGATGTCAATCTAATCCCGAAATTTCCTCTTGTTTACAGTCCACCGACGGCCTGCTTCCCCTGCGCCATGTTCATCTAATCACGGATGTAGTACGTGCTCTGGATATCGCTCTCCTTCTACGACGCAAGCACGTGATCTCCCACTTTTGCTATTTAATTTCACTTTCATTTATAATTTTCGACTTTAAATGCTTAGCTGCAATAAATTTATTGAGTTATTCGTGGACTTAAATGATTACATGCTGAAATGAAATTAAATAAACAACTTTTAGTATTAACGCCACTCTTTAAAATTGGCAAACGAAAGTGGTCGCTTGTTGGGACACGTGTATATATACATATTTTGATAACAGTAAATGTAGGTACTGTCTAAGCGCTTTTGTTCTGTTCACTTTATATGTTTAAATGAAAACATGGGTTGATGATGAGAGGATGTAAACAATCCTCACGCCAACGTCACGTGACGTTACGAAACAGGAAGTCGTACAATTTATGATTCGACAAAAACAAAAGGCTTCTGTACAATTCAAGGAGCTTAGAATGACCATTCATGATCATTCTAAGCTCTTTGGTACAATTTCATGTAAGAAAGTTTGCTCATTACCCCACATTTAAAATAAATAAATAAATAAAATAAGAGAAGTTACATTTAAACTGATTAATAGATGCTATCCAAACCATTTGGATCTAAAAAGGCTTATGAATAATATTAACATCAACTGTCCATTTTGCTTAGAGATTCCTAAAACTTCTGTTCATTTATTTTGGAATTGGCCTCATTCAGTGACATTTTGATGTGATATTCTTGATTTTATAAAAGATTATGTGCTGGCACATTTTGCATTTACTTATAAGAATTTTTTTTTTTTTTTGGTTTCTGTAAAAGTCAAAAGGAAAGTAATACTTATTTCATAACCTGATTTTTTTGTTGGGCAAATTTCATATTCACAAAAACAAATTTTGTAAGTGTATTTTGTTTAGGGTTAGGATTTTCTTTCTTAATGTAAAATTGAAATGAAAATGTATTTTGAGTCTATTGAGGGATCAACAAACTTAAAAGCAATAAGAACAAGGACTTTATTGCAGGATTTGGCACTTATCTTGGACTAGATGACTGAAAACCCCTGGATTGTTGTTGTTGTTTGCCCTTACAAAAATAACTGCAGTAAACGAGAGCAGTAAACTGAAGTAAAACTGCAGTACAACAGCAGTAAATAGAAGTATAATTGCATATGAATTAAGTACAATTGCTATAAAAATGAAGTATAAACACAGCTCAAATGCAGTACAATAAAGTTTAACTACAGTTTAAGTTCCAGTTAACAAAACAAGTAAACTCTGTCTTTACTGCACTTGTGCAGTATGCCAATGTCTAATATGCCAATGGCGTGTTAAGTACTACACTTATGATTCAAGGGATTTGTTCTTCAACACCTTCCGAGAATATTTTGTACTTTTTTAGGGATGTATTTTTTTGGATTCAAGTAATTTTTTATTAAGAATTTTAAGAGTTAAATTGCAAAAATAAGTGCAGTTAATTGATCAGTACAACAGCATTAGCCTATATACAACGAAAACTGTGGCAAAATTCAATGCAACTGCAAAATAGCAGTATAATAAGGTATAAACAGTTTAACTGCAACACAATAAAGCTCAACAGCAGTAAAATCTGCAGGACAGCTGAAATAACAATAAATAAACTGAGAGGGAAAATATCGTCACCATAGAATTATAAGGTTCTATCTGACATTTTTTGTCAAAATTGAGTTATTCACATATTCTTTTTAAATGACAACTTATTTACATTATGGGATTTTTTTTCACAAGTTGAACTCCTTTCAAAATACTGAGCTAAAGTAAATTTTCATATTTTGCAGTGCTTCTTGTCCGGTGTGAGACTCACTTTATGTCGTAAAGTGAAACTATAGAAATTAAAAATGTTAAAAAAATAAATACATTGCGACCATTGTTTTTGTTAACATCCCTCAAAATGGTCTATACTCACTGAGAACGTCTCTTCTATATGGTGTATGCCCATAGACTAAAATTACATGGTGTATGTCCCGAAGACTTTTATTTTGAAGAAAATGCAGCTCGTAGGAACATTTTCCGGAAATGGCCTCAGCTGTCCTCACATTGAAGCATTGAAGTACTTCTAAGCGCTTAAACACGTTTTCACACTAATATTTATTACCGTAAGGATTTTATTACAGTATTGGTGAGTAATTACATTCGAATATAAATCCTTTGCTTGTTAAAATAGTTCAGATGTATGTCAGGGGAAAATATGTGTGCTTGTGTATATAAATACAGCTTAATGACCTAAAACAAAACAAACCATTGGAAATCATTGCATTTATGTCCGATGCACTAATAATGATTGAATAATGATTTTTTTCCATATTACTTGTTTCTTTTTCTAGCTGAAAAAAAGCAACTTTCTATCTAGTCATGATCAGGCACTGCAGGATATTTTCACATCTTGTCTTGAGAAGTCAGTCAAGTCATGTACACTCAAGTCCCGTTAGGATACTCTTGCCCTTGTCAGCAAACACATGTACTGCATCCCCACGCACTCATTCTACCAACGTCAAGGTGCGCTCATACTTGCAGTACATGAAAAGGAAAGTCCAAGGTTCCCCAGTTCCTCCATACAATCACGTCTGCCAAGTTGGAGATCCTGTCCTACGTTCACATGCTGCTGAAGTTGAACCCGGAGCCATTCAAGGTCCAGAAGTGCAGAAGGTCATAAAGACCCTGGTGAAAGTGATGAGAAAGCTGGAGTGTGTTGGTCTGAGTGCACCTCAGATTGGTGTTCCTTTACGAATATTAGCCCTGGAGTATCCTAAGAAAATGCTGGAGGAAAGCTCCACCGCTTCTGTTGAAGCTCGAGGTCTGGTGGCAGTGCCTCTTATGATTTTTATAAACCCACAGTTACGGGTATTAGACGGACGCACAGTCATCTTCCAAGAGGCGTGTGAGAGCATCTCTGGGTATTCAGCATCTGTCCCACGATATGTGTCTGTAGAAGTCTCAGGTAAAAGATGTCAACCTGTATTAAAGGGTTTTACTCGCCTTTGGCTCATCCAAGATGTAGGCGACCTTTAAAAAAGATTTTTAGCAGGAAATGTGGTATTTTTTTATGTATAAGCTAACAAAATAAATATATATGTGACTCCTGATGAAGCATTGAGAGGTCTTCACATTGAGGACTGCTTGTCAAGGCTGTAGATTAAGGGTTCCTTCACCCAAAAATGAAAATTCAGTTATTATTACTCCAGACTCATGCCGCTCCAATCCTTTGAGACATTCATACAATTTTGGAAAACAAATGACAATATTTAAGATGAAATCAGAGAGTTCTCTGACCCTCTATAGACAGTAACATTCTCGAGACGTTCAAAGTAGAGCTGCACAATATATCGTTTCAGCATCGATATCACAAGGTGCACATGTGCAATAGTCACATCGCAAGATATGCAAAGTTAAGTCTGAATTATAGTTGACCAGGAGCCACAGAACTGTATTTAATTACTGTATTCATGCAAAATTTATATACAATTTATGCCCAAAAAAAGTTCTCACTTTTTTGTCTTGTTTCTTGTCCAAAGATCTACATTTTAAATTAAAAACAAGATTTACTTACACCGCTTAGTTCAAAGTCCAGAAAGAGAACCAAAATTATTTTCAAAAAAGTAAATGTGACTTCAGTAGTCCATCTTAAATCGTAAACTCCAAGAACAATTTTGTGAGCCAGAAATCTGTATAAATGACTTATAATAAATGATATATAAATGCCAGTGTTTTTTCTTCCATGATGTGTAAGGGTGTGCATTTTCTATGGGACGAAAATTACATTTGTCCATAGTAAATGGACCCTGATGTGGACCCTGAAATGGACCCCTGATTATTTTTACCGTTTTTTTTTCTAGTTGCATTTTTATTTCTTGTACAGTCGTTCAACTTCATTAGACATACCTCTATGTATCATCAGAAACCAAGGGTATTAGTTTAGTTTTGCTTGTACATCTCTGTAAGTGCTGGTAGCCATTGATTTAAAATCTTCATGTTCTACTGAAGAAGAAAAAAAACAAGTCCCCTATATCTGGATGGGGTAAGGGTAAGTAAATTAATAACAATTTACATTTTTGGGTGAACTATCCCTTTAAGTGACAATAAGACTAGATTGTAAAAGCATTTAAACCAGTGGTCTCAAACTCACTTCCTGGATTTCCACAGCTTTGCATAGTTCATCTCCAACTCACACCTGCTTAATAGTCTCTAGTAGTCAAGAACACCTTAATTAGTTGGATCAGCTGTGTTTGATTAGGGATGGAGCAAAACTCTGCCAAGCTGCAGCCCTCCAGGAATTAGGTTTGAGACCTATGGTTTAGACTAGGGGTGTCGAAACTCGCTCCTGGAGGGCCGTTGTCTTGCAAAGTTTAGTTCAAAGTCAAACCCCAATCAGACAGACCTGGGCTAGCTAATAAAGCCCTTAAAATGCTGTCACCCTAGAGTTTGATCATGCGGAATTCTGTTGTGCGGCGCTGCGAAAAATAGTGGGATTAAACAAGACGATTAGACATTTAAAAAAAGCCAGCGAGTGGTCCATGTTTTAAATTTCTGTCCAGAGAGGTCATGTGTTGATCCTTGTTTCATCTCACGCAGTCAAGTAAAGCAGGTCAGAGTTCACCAAGCTTGAACTTTGCACCGCAGTGGCCTGCGAATCTTGACGCATGGCCTTGCGTTTCCGGTCTGATACAATCGCGTGCACGTGAATGGAAGTCTATGGGGAGAAAAGTCTAGTGTGACCGCAGCTTTACAAGGCTTTCTAAAACTTCCTTGCAGGCGTGTGAAAGCTAAAATCTGCAGGACAACGAATCTCCAGGACCGAGTTTGGACATCCCTGATTTAAACAATGTAAATATTTTTTTGTGTCTTGATTATCCTCTATGCATCAAATCAAAGTTTATCTTCTTTTCTAAGGTCTTAATGAGAAAGCGGAGGAGGTCAGCTGGAAAGCCAGTGGATGGCCAGCCAGAATATTGCAGCATGAGATGGATCATCTCAATGGAGTGTTATATATTGATCACATGGACAGCAAAACCTTCATTAATGTAAAATGGGAGGAGCATAACGAATAAAGTTTTGGAAACTTCATTGTTTTTTTTATTTCAGACAAAAATGTTTCTCATCAGTTATCTGAAACAACAATTTTATCATCTTTCACAACTAAAGAAGATTTCTAATGTCTTACTGCAACAGCATGCAGCGGAGACTTAATCCACCTCTTCATATTCAATAGGATAATTTTAGTTTTATTATTTAGAATTTAGAATCTTTTAAATAAAATAATAGGCAGAATTAATTCCCAGACCCTTTATTTTTACATTACCTCTATCACAATAACAAGTGAGTGTTATAGTACATTAGATAATAACATGGCAGTATATGAGTCTAAACAACATGGAGATTGGTTAAAGATGTTGCTGAGAGTCAAAACCATAATCTTCCAAAATACATTAAACCAAAAGCTTAATACAATAAATCTCACAAAATCTCATCAATAATAGACAGCTCTGTTGTACAGTATGGTATATACACAAGTGTGACTTTTTAAACTTTCCTGTAATATATGGCTCTCTTATCAGAAAAAATATTACTGATTAAAAATGAACCCATTAACTAATAGCTATAGTTCTATCCCTTATTATTTCGGACTGCAAAACCCCCCCAAAAAACATTAACAGATGGCTAAGGTTCTATACCTATACATTTCTGACTCGTAATTATCAGAAACAGAAGCAGACTGTACAAACTTAACATTTGTCAGTGTTCTTTTAAACCGGGGTGGAGATGTCAAAAGGTTTTCCACATTTACATGACAAGGGACTTTTAAACCAACATTCTTTGCAATACAGGGCACCACAGAACCTGCATAGCATAAAGAGTTTAAAGCTTGAGCAATCTACACATTTGGTTGCGAGTTCTTGTATCTTGTGCTTTTCAGAACAGTGCCATCCATCAGCACACCTAGAGGTGTGAAAAACTTGACAAGTAAAGCATACAAAATTTGGATAAAACTGGCCATCATCGCAGCAGTGGTGATGTGGTATTGGCAGACAAGGTGATTCTGAAGTACTGACTTCTTGAGTGTGCTGTATGCGATGTTCTTCCTTAATGCAGTTCTGCCCATCTTTACATAGGAAATCATGGGAGTATTTACAGGTGTGGCAGATTACATACACTGGCCCTCCAGACAAAAGACATGCGTGTCTCCTTTGAGAATTCAGTCTTTCTCCTTGAGCGGGCTGTATTCTTCCTGTAGGCTTAATATTGTGTGTAAGCATGTTGCAGTTTTTAATACCGCTGCAGCTGTGGTCGTGAATCAGCTGGCAATCGTAGCAGACCAAAAATGTCTCCGAAGTTGAACTGGCCACACAATGATGCGTCTTCAGTAAATCTTTCGATTTTTCCTTGGCCAGCCTAGACTGGTCTTGTCTTGAATGAAAGTCTTCAGCTTTGTGCGACCACAGAGCTAAAGCGTGCTTGTTATTTCTGCACTTTTTATAATGGACACACATTGGACTGTGAACCTCTCTGCATATCTCACACTGGTATATGTACAGCTCATCTGGAGTGATGCATCTGCACATCACTTTTCCTGCATCACTTTCAGATTGATCATCAGCAATGTTTTCTACTGGACCTGGGTTATTATTGCCAAGTGATCTTCTCCGCATTGCGTCATCATTATTCCCAAAGTCTAATTGTGAGGGATCTTTGCGAAAAGACTTGCTATAAGGAGAGTGAGGTGGTGAACAAGAGCTGGAGGTCCCGTGAGAGGCATCTTGTGCAGTGTACAGATCCACATCACTGTCTGATCCACCTGTCACAATGTCAACTGATGCTCTAGCAGCTTCTGACTTGACCTTAGTGTTCTCTAATGCTAGCTGAAGACTGTGGCCCACCTGCCTCTCCTTAATAAGCTGCAGAACCCACTCCACGTCTCTGTTCACAGAGCCCGAGGCAGAAAGCAGCAGCTGGCACTCCATCCGAGCCACAAAGAAACCACAGGCCAGGCTGAGTAAGAAATCAGCAGGAACTGGTTTGAGGTTCAGTGCCAACTCCTCTTTTTGGTTATTACACGAAGGCTCGTACCCGAGCAAACCAAAAAGCTCTTTAGTCTGCTGAAGGGTCAGCGTTGGTTTGATTAAATGGGTGAACATACCTGAAAACATCTTGGGAGAGAGAAGTTTATGTCAAGACTGTGAAAACAACAAACGAGATGCTGTTATGTAAACCTAACACCAGTTTTACCACATACCTTCACCAGTCTGTACTCTCTTCTCCACGGGTAGATGTAAAGATTTAACGCGGCGAGCTCCAACACTTCAAAGGCCTTGAAAAGTTTCTCAAGCCCCTTTTGACCAGTTTTTGAGGGAAACGATTGAAGAGATTCTTCCATCACCGCCAGTGTATCTAATGTAAACAGATTGTGTATCTTCTGGCCATTGGCATTCCGAAGGAGTGACTGTACTTCTTTACAAAGTTCCTCGTTTCGACATACAAAAAATTGATCCCCCTTTTCAATTTGTCTTTTCAAGTTAATATGGTACTTATTGGTGAGACCATCTTCTGTCTTTTTATGAGCAAAAGAACTCATCCTTTAAAAAAAAAACAACAACAACAACAACAGTTCAATCCATCAAATAAGCAACAACAGTAACAACTTTCTGATCAAAATACAGCATTCAGGTGCAACATTTAGCTGAGAAAGAGCCGAATGACGTTATTAATAGTCGTCGTGTGTACAAAAACTAAACCCAAAATTGAATAATGAAGGATACTTAATGAAACATAATAAATTTCTTTCATACTTTGTTTTTTACTGTAACCCCAAAGGAATATGCCTCAGTAATCAGAGCTTTCTGTATGTAAAGGTCTTGCAAACTCTTTTCTTCACTCTGCTGATACTTTTTGTGGCAAAATTAGTTTTTCATTTAGTAATAAGAATAATAACAAGAACATAAGTCTATTAGGTGGTTCATTCTGCAGTGGCGACCCCAGATTAATAAAGGGACTTAGCTGAAAAAAGAAAATGAATGAATGAACATACGTCTATTATTCCAAAAAGAATGGGTTAGTAAACCAAGTGTTATTATCTATTAGTCTAAGTTTATTCAAAATATTGATTGGAGGAAGGTTTGGTTATTATAATAAATATCTAATTACAAAATAAAATCAATATCCTGTTAAGCTTTTTTAACCAGATTTATTGTAGACATGGATGTTTATTGTTCATTTTACGCAGAAACAGTATCTCATATTTTCTGCCATTGTCTGTATACAAAAGGTTTATGGTGAAAGGTTGCGAAATTCATTCATTCATTTTCTTTTCGGCTCAGTACCTTTATTAATCTGGGATCACCACAGCAGAATGAACTGCCAACTTATCCAGCATATGTTTTAGGCAGCGGATGGCCCTTCCAGCTGCAACCCATCACTGAGAAACATCCATACACACACTCATTCACACACATACACTACAGACAATTTAGCTATACCCAATTCACCTACTGTATAGCGCATGTCTTTAAACCTGCGGAGGAAACCCATGCGAACATGGGGAGAACATGCAAACTCCACACAGAAACGACAGCTGACCCAGCCGAGGCCCGAACCAGTGACCTTCTTGCTGTGAGGCAATTGTGCTAAACATTGCGCCACCATCACGCCCTGTATCTAAGTTTATAAATTATAAAGGGCTGTCAAATTTTCTTTTACTGTATGAATATGTCATTTTTGTTTTTTGAACTATGATAAGTTGGAAAATTACGCTTATGGTATTAACCTTATGATTGTACCCACCAAGTTTCATAACCAACATTGTATATTTAGCAGTAACCTCTTTTCTCAGTGGTTTTTAAAGAACTAGATATTAATATGATCACCATAAAGGAAAGTTCAAACAAAAAAGCTAAAGTTAAAACGGTGTATTTGTTTGACACGTTTAAGTTGCTGTGAGTTAGCAAGGCCTTGCATTATTTGTAATATATATTTTTTTCTCATTTGTTATTTTATGTTGTTTTACCTATTGAGTTTTTGTACTTTTATATAACTCTATTATGCTTTTCATATTTTTATGTACACTTATGGAATTGTTTTGTATGTACCTGAAGATTACATATTAACATTCAGTTTATCTATTCGACTGCTAAAACGTGAAAACGTGTAAAATAATAAAACATTAAAAGCTTTTTTCAAACACGGACGTTACTTCTAAGACAATTAAGTTACTAAAGCGAAAGTGAAGATGGAAAACATTAGTTTCGTAATTATCTAAATTTAGCGTCTTACTTATTTTTGTTCATTAATTAATAACTGAAAATTGTACGTATATTTTATGTTTATCTCACTGTTTAGGAAATACAAACGACAGATTGCGCTGAAACCTTTACAGACTTTGTATCTTGTCGACTTTCCAAACACAAACAGCCACTGACGGATTTTATAAGAGTTCAAATCAACAAAGCTCGTGACACAACATCACCGTTCACACCGCACTGTTATAAATAACATAAACGAGTTTTGTTACCTGATTAATCTTCTTTTGCGTTCAAAACAAGTCGCTTGCGAGGAGCTCGGTGTTTCACGGCAGAAAAACTTTTTTATGACATCACTTCCGTATTCGGCTCACGTGAAAAATTAAATGTCGTCAAATCTTAAAAAGTCCTTAAAAAGTCCACTTGATATGATATTCAAAACTAATAAACGATAGGATGTGAAGGACATGAAGGATATTTCTTGGAAGGATAAATAAACTCCCATGTAATTCCATATTATATATTTATTACACCTGAACGCATTGACAATGTTGAGCTGTTTTCTACTGTTGACAATATTTTGTTATTGATACTATGCTATATAAACTCAATAATGTTCTATTATTCCATGTAGAATAACAAAGACATATGAATTATATTCATCATTTATTCATTTTCCTTCGGCTTTGTCTCTGATTCATCAGGGGTCGCCACAGCGGATTGAACCGCCAACTATTCCAGCATATGTTTTGCACAGCGGATGCCCTTCTAGCCGCAACCCAGTATTGGAAAATGATTTATATTTGTGATATATTATTATATAAAAAACTGTTTTCAAATATTAAAGTTTTATAGTTTTAATGGATATTTTAGATTAAAATGTTTTGAAATGATTTAAACTACAGATACTACTTTATTCACATTTTATAATTAATTATTTTATACTCATTATATAATTATTACTTTTTTATAATTCTTTATTAATTAGATTTTATATTATTTAAATTACTATTCACTTTAATATTGATTATTAGCCTTATTATCGTATTTTGATTCATTATTTTATGACAATGTATTTTATGTAAATTAAATACAGACCTTTAAATAAAAACAAAAACAAAACACTGACAATATTAATCCAACTAGTGTTAATAATGTGATTTTGTGATACCTTTTGGTTTTGTGCTCATATATATATATATATATATATATATATATATATATATATATATATACATACATACACACGCACACACACACACACACACACAGAGTTGGGCAAGCTACTTGACAAATGTAGTGAGCTAAGCTATTAGCTACTATACTTGAAATGTGGCTTAACTACACTAAAGCTACCCTCTGGGAAATGTAGCAAGCTAAGCTAAAAGCTACATGGCAAAAGTAGCTAAGCTACATCTAAGCTACTTTTACAATTTTCATTTTTAAATCGAAGCAGCTTAAATCCAAGTCAATCGTATCATTTATATCATATATATATATATATATATATATATATATATATATATATATATATATATATATATATATATATATATATATATTATAGTGTTATATATACTAAAGTATTTTTATTTTTTTGAGCACGACATCAGAAATTAAGTTATTGCATCTTAACATGTACTTCTCGAGCTATGGTCACAAGGAATCCTGCTTCAGAAATAACTCCTCTCCCTCAGTCATCTTTCCATCAAGCAAGTTTCACCAGAGGTGGCAGTAACGCACCAAAAAGTTTGTTGTCGAACACAGTAAAACAGTAAGAAGAAGAAATCATCCTTCTCCGTATCATATGGGCTGCGTCCGAAATCGCCTTCTACTCAGTAGGTACTGCATTTGAATTTAAACGTACTACTCGGCCGTTAGAAAAGTACGTTCTATACAGTATGGAAGTGAAAAGTATGAATGGTATTCGGACGTACTACATCTGACATTTTGTCATGGTCACGTGACCTACCTGCGTCAATTACGTCGCTTTACTCCCATTCATGAATTCGCTCGCGGGGCATCATGGAATAGCGCAGCATGCATGGGATGCGCACTCTAGAATCTCGCCGGAAGTAGTAAGTCATCTGGGTACTTCTCGCCTACTGATTTTTCGAATTCTATGAATTCGGACATACTACTCGGCTCGCATACTGATTTTAGCGTACTATATAGTATGGAAGTATGCGGTTGCGGATGCAGCCATGGATTTATTTCCATCGAATAAACACCGGCCTCACAGCTCAGTGAATGTCGGTGCCGCCACTTATTGATCCACGATCGGTAAATGTAGTTTGTGTGAACGCTACTGCGCTACTTGACAAATAAAATAGCTTCGCTACTGAAAAGCTATTTGATTTAGAAAGTAGCGACTCTACCACCACGCTACTAAGAAATGTAGTTAAGCTAGTACCTTCACTACTTGTAACATGCTAATAGGACCTTTAATTTGCCAGTAATCTGGGTTAAGCGCTTTCGGTGAACTTTGTGCTAATGGAAAAATCTTAAGGTCTGTTTTCTTTCAAAATCAGCGATCTCCACTGGCTGAGTGATATCCAATATAAAGTGGGTCTTGGTATGTACAAGAAGCACTGCATTAAATTACATTTTTCCCCGTCATGTCTTTATAATATGAGCATTTATTTTACCCCAGTATATTCAATGGAGCTTCTGCGCTAGCCTGCCGATTCTGACGGGCGCGTGCGAGTAAAAAGCCCTTTGTCTCGTTTTTCGCTTGAACAACTAAACGAATGCCAAAGTTTATTTAACTGAATGTATTTTAATTACATTACAACATCGATGCTGTAAAAGGAACCGTATAAAATGGGGAAAAAACTCACAATAACAGGTATCCGGAAATTTATAAGTATGGGAACAAAACTAGCTCGGCATATACCCAATTATATTCATCTGTCTCCATATTTTACTGCATCCCAGAATATTACACAGCACCAAAAATGTAAAAATATGTATTGAATATAATTAATATGTTTTTGTCCACAGCTGACGCAATTCGCCGTGACGCAGATTCCCGAGTCTGTATACTCAAATGAGGTGAGCCCTCTTCAGCGCTCACCATGACAATGAGACTCACAGCAGTGACGTGTCTTGTAAAAATTTGCTTCTGCATTCCTATAAAGCTCGTCGGTTCTCTCTCAGTGTTGTCAGTTTGCTCGGTGTTGCTGCTTGTGCTTGACCAAGGTGAGTTCAATACCAACGGTACGAGTGGAGCCACGACAATCCCACGAAGTCCGCTTTGTGAGGCTTCACTCGGGCCTGTTTGTGCTGTAGTTCCTTGCGGTTTGCATACATAAACACAATATCGCGAAGAACATTATGTGTTTGTTGCTCGAAATGTGCCGCCGAGCAACATCCAGTGAACACTGGCACGGCCTCCCAACAAACACATTTACGTTGTAGCGATGTCTGCACAACGTTGTATTTTTTCAAAGGCAACGTTGCCGCTTACGTGCTCGCTACATTGTCACAACGTAGAAATGTAAGACGTGAGAAGGCTGTAGCAACGTTGTCGTGCGACATTCAGCAACCGCGAGGCGGCGTTCTTACTACTTGTATTAATATTTTTTGTGGCAGTTTATCAATACTGCCTAGAATACAGGATAAGCAGCAATTCTTTTCCAGTATTGCTTAATATTAAATATTGTTCATTTATTTTTCCTATTTCATTTAACAACTGCATGTGTAAACTTTAAAGTGTAAAAATGCCACACAAATGAATATAATCAAACTTTTTATTATATATTTCACAACATTTAATACATACAGTACAAATCTAATTATAAACAAACAGTATAAAGTTTAGATTATATATATATATATATATAATTAAACTAAAGGGTAAACAAACAAGAAAAGTAAACAAGAAATCATTAAAATGTATATATATATATATATATATATATATATATATATATATATATAAATTAAAATTCAGACACTGTGCAGTGAAGCTCTGGACTGGAGAATACAGCAGACCAGGGAGCGCAGCTGAAGACCAGGCATAGTTGTTGGTATGGAGAAAGCAGTCAGAGGAAGAAACAAATTCAACAGATAATCCAGCTTCAGAGATCCACAGCAGACACAAGTCAAAATAGGCAGTAAACAAGAGAGGACAGATGGAAACGAATATGACTAGCAAGTTATTGAAATTTCAGACATTTATTGTAATTTCATTACATATAAAATCTCCAGTGAACGGAATGCCGAAATGTTACTCGCTCGTAACAACTTCATTACGGCTTTTGTGTGTGTGTAATGTTGGAACAGATTGTTGTCGAAATCGTAGGTTTGTTTGAATATTCACGATTTACGTATCTTATTTAGCAAGAAGAAATAAAGCAATACTCACGTCTCCTCGGTCGTTGATGAATGAGACGACGGCTTGTTGAAATTTAAACTGATTCAGCTGTGACCAGTAAATGTTGTACAGTGGTTGTCCATGCAACCTAAGCACAACCTAAAGTATGCGGCCCTCGTGATGTTTAAATGGCAACCTTATGACATCGTTGTGACAACCTTTAGCAACAACGTAGAATCCTCAACCTTTTTACAATGTTGGTACAACGTTGTAGGAAGGTCGCTACGTTGAGGCAACGTTGTGTGTTTGTTGGGCTGGCGCCCGGTTTACTCGTGCACTCCCTGGGGCGAGGCGGCTTTTGAGCCCTAGGCAGGGAACAAACAATCTTCGAGGACCCTCAGGGAAACACGGGAGGCCTATAGTGGGACCTCGCTGCAAGGGTTATGGTAGGTGGGAGCAGCGAGGCCCACTCATCGTCTATTTTAAACTATAGTTTCAAACTTTAGTTTACTATAGTTTGAAATAGAAACCATGGTAACTATTATGATTTAACTTTATGCAAAGAGCTTAGAATGACCAAGAGGCGACACTCAATAGAACGTTCCAATGCAACAGCAGCGCCCAGCAACAGCCCCGGATTCCGCCATTTTGAAGTGCAAGCGATCGGCCGTGATGGCAAGCAGCTGCTTTGTTTTTAATTAATTTATTTAAAAAGCGAGTTACAGCTAAGAGACGACAATACAACACATTACGTTACTTTAAAAAGTGTTAATAGTCTTGATAAAATGGCCGCCGCGCCATCTAGTGTCTGTTTCCTAAATTGCCTCTTGGTGAGTCTATGCTCTTTGCTCTATGTCTGACTGTTGTAATGTTTTGCGTTGTTTTTTAGCTGAGTTGTTGAGCAAAGAAGGGCAACCGTTGAAGACAACAGTTGAAGACAACCGCGGGTTATATTAACGAGCGCACGGATTATAATGTTTCCTAGCTGTTTTCTGACAGTTTATCTTGATTTTATAAGTTTGCAGGTCAAACAAAATAAACTACACTCTTTCTAAACACCTGTCTCGTGTTTTATTTGTCTTCTACAGCATTACACTGTCATATAGGTCTGTTGAATGCATTTGTATGCAACATGGTTTGACAATACAGTAGTCTAACAAATAAACAGTTGTTATAAATGCACTTTCATTAGTCAACATTTGGTGTAGGGAATAAAAAGTTAATCAAATATGTCCTCAGATATAACAGTAATGTTATAGTTGTTACATAACTGTATTTATTATTATTCTGTATGTTTAAAACCAGCAGATTTACTATATATTTAACATGTCATAAACTTACTGTTATTCAAAAATTTGCTTAATAAAATATCCTTAGACAAGAATGGCTGTTGTTTGGGTTTTATATCAACCTAGGTTTTAAGTTGAGTACAGCAGATATAGGCTACCTATAATCATAATATTGGTAGTCGGAGTTTTTTAATGACCCAAATCAAGTAAAACGTCTCTCAAGTACTTTTAGCATGCAAAAGTCAAATTTGACTGTATAAAATACAGTTTCCAACAACAACATTTTGTCTAGTGAAAATGACCAGTGTGGAGGTTAGAAAAAAAGTTCATGTCAAGTTATATATATAATGAATTTTAAATAAGTAAGACCATTTTTCACCATTTGAGGATTTATTAATAGGCCTGCATGACAGGATTTCTATCAAATGGATCTAGCTATATTTCAAATATATTAAACCAATTTTGTGAATAAAGATAACAAACACATAAAAAAAAACCTTTTTCACGGTACTTGTTTGCAGTGCTTATTTAATTTAGCAAATATTCGTGATTAATCACAAGAGGGCGCTATAATCTTTGATGAGACAGTTGGTAATGATATAATATAGGGGTAATTCATAGCAACGACTGCAACAGTAATCAATATTATTATTAATTACATTTTATTATTATTAACTGCTGGTATTTTCACTTCTGAACATGATATTATGCCTACTCCTTACATTTTAGGTTAAATATTGAAATGTTGTTCTCTACAGATACATCACATTTTTTCAGTATCCCTTTTCTTTCAGTTGTAAAATGTATGCATTAAAAAAAGAACAGTTTGAAATTAAGTTATTTGTGATAAATAATAAAGATATGTATAATCTGTGGGAGTGTCCTCCAGAAGAGGGCGTGGCTTTCCTACTGCGGTTTGATTTAAATATCTTGAGCAGCAGGAGACATGAGCCCCATAAACCATAATCAATCTCAGACGTCTGACGGCTGCAGCAGCGATGTCAAACGGGGACAGGGTGGTTTTAGCGCTCGGTGGAGCAGGAACTGTCGGATCCGGGATAGTTAAAGCTTTCCTGGACAGAGGTAAGAGGATGTAGCCTATTGAATATTTACCTAGTTAGCATTATGTTACATTATATTAATACTTTAATATATTATAGTCATGTATGAATACATTACAGCAACAGTTTTTTCTCTTTAATAATATTTATCCCAATAATTATAAATGGGTATTGTTTAAATGTATATATCTGCCCTGAATCATGTTATAATATAATATAGCTAATATATAATATAATACAATATAATGCATCGCTTCAGAAAAAAACTGCTTTTATAAAGTATATATTTTTGAGCATTACAACTCTGATTTAGCCTGATTTTCTACACAAAAGATTTACGTTTGTTGTTTGTTTAAACCGCTTATTTAAAATGAGCATGAAACAACACAATTCTTGAGTTTTTTGGGGGACAACTTAATTGTTTTATGTTCAATCCACTTAAGTTTGAAATTAAAATAAATTAAACTAATCCGTTAACTTAATTCATGTAGTCCCAACACAAAACGGTTGTGTGGAGCACAGCAATTTTCTTTTTTTTACAGTGAATGCTTTTATTTTTTGTAGTTTACTTTTGTTGTAAGTGTTTCAGAGAAAGCAGGAAAATCATCATATATCCTGCCATTTATTTTATTAGAAGTTTCAATAAAATAAAAAAACTTGCATTATTTATTTTAAAGTCTAAAATCAATTTATTTGCATACAATTGTATGTTCAAAAGTTGTGTATTTCATGTGTGGTAACTACATGTTTAGGTTTCAAGGTGGCTGTGATCTCCAGAGACGGCAGCAAGTTGGAGAAACTCAAAGGTTTCGTTTCACCCGGCACAAAAAGTAACCTGATTACTTTAGTTGGGAATGTAGGTATGTATCTTCACCCTTTGCATTTAGTTTTTTTTTAATCAGTGTTATCTTTGCAACACTTTGAGGTTTGATTGATTTGGGATGACTATCAGGCTCAGAGGACGGAGTGGAGGAGGTGAAACAGGCCTTGCTGAAGTCAGTGGGAAAGATCACAGATGTGGTGTCGTCTCTGGGATTCAGCTGGTGGCAGGGAGGACCACCGCACACACAGCCTCTTAAAGAACTGCACTGGGTAAGAGACTGACCCTCACAACCTTTCTATGATCCTTTTTAGTAAAATTTACATGCAGCATTCCTATCCACTGCTACTCCATGTTGTCAAACCATTGCTCAAACTCTTCCTCTCCGGTCAACAGGTTATTGAGACTCTTCTTTTCAGCACATTTGTGTCCTGGAAAGCATTTTTTCCCCTAGTGAGAGACGATCCTAACGGCACCTACACATTTATCACAGGTAGGTCCAGCAAAACATATGCTGAGTGAAAGTTTAGTGAAGAAAAAAATGTTGTGGCACTGTTCACGTCTGCTGTTGTGTTTTGTTTTTTCACAATTCCTAATACTAAAGCAGAGTGGGACAAACTACCAAAAAGTTCTCACAATTTTGGAAAGGAAATACAATAGAATACGAATATACTAATGAATCAAACTCTGCTTTAAGCCTCTTCAATGTGAGAATTAAACTTGATTTGTTTCTTCAAAAATCTTCCAGTCAAGGGCAATAAGCTATTTTGTCCTTGTCCTTTATGTTTGATTAATCATGATAAAGACACTCGATAACAGTGTCACCATTTATGTGTTCCCTTCCACATGCTCATAAATCACAAGACCTTTTCTTTCATGTTTTTTCATTATCATTGGAAGCCAAAATCAAACAAAATTTAGATTATTTGCACAGCTATGTTCAAATTTCCATTAACACTTGCTGCCGTTTTAATCTCTTCTGCTTTATTTATTTGAGGTGAGGGTGTATGTGTGGCCTTTCTCGGGTCATTTAATATAATAAATCGCAATAAATCCACACCCAACACACAGTTGAACGCAAAAGCTGCTTTAAAATATGGAAAATGACGAAGTCGGCTGTGGGTTTGTATTAGAATCAGAAGTGGTACAAGAACTTTTGCTTTAGCCTTCAAAATAAACATACAGCAATGTTTGTCTCATCTGGCAAGCGTGCTTCAATAACAGCTTTTGTAATTGTTATGAATTGGGTCAGCAAGCAGAGAGGATGCTCTTAAGTGGCTGTTTGAACACAAGAATTTATATGTCTAAAAGGGGATCAAATGGATTTGGATTACCTTTTATTTTAACTAGTCAAACGCGGACAAACTCAAAACTTCTAGGACCCATTTATGCTTGCATTTAGTGTTGCCCACTTCTGGTCAGACTGACAAAAATACATAATAATACCAGGGGCTGGGGCAGCATGGTGGCTCAGAGGTTGCTCACTGTCACAAGAAGGTCGCTGGTTCGAGTCCTGGCTGGGCCAGTCGGCATTTCTGTGTGGAGTTTGCATGTTCTCCCCGTGTTTGCATGGGTTTCCTTTGGGTGCTCCGGTTTCACCCACAGTCCAAAAACATGCGGTGCAGGGGAATTGAGTAAACTAAATCGTCCATAGTGTATGTGTGGGTGTTTCCTAGTACTGGGTTGCAGCTGGAAGTGCATCCTTTTTGTAAAACATATGCTAGAATAGTTGGCAATTCATTCCACTGTGGCAACCTCTGAAAGACCAAAGGAAATTAATGAATGATAACTAGGTGCAAACATGGCCAAAGTTAAGACTGGCTATTTATTAAGTGCTTGAGAAAACTTATGGTTCTTTGTTGACATTAATAGTTCCATAAAAAACCTTCAACATCCATGCAAACTTTTCATTCTGCTAAAGGTCTTTTTAATATTGGAGATTCTTAATTATTTAAACGTTCCTCAAACTATGAACAAAAACATTCTTTTCCATAAAAGATTCTATGGGTAATAAAAATCAGTGATTATATAGCATCACTGTAGCAGGTAGTGCTGTCGCCTCACAGCAAGAAGGTTGCTGGTTTGAGCCTCAGCTGGGTTAGTTGGGGTTTCTGTGTGGAGTTTGCATGTTCTCGCCGCGTTCGCGTGGGTTTCCCCCATAGTCCAAAGACATGCGCTATAGGTGAATTGGGAAAGCTAAATTGTCCGTAGTGTGTGTGTGTGTGTGTAAATGAGTGTGTATGGATGTTTCCCAGAGATGGGTTGCAGCTGGAAATGCATCCGCTACATAAAATATATGCTGGATAAGTTGGCGGTTCATTCCGCTGTGGCAGCCCCAGAATAATAAAGGAACTAAGCCGAAAAGAAAATTAATAAATGAATAGCACAACTGTGAAATTTTGATTCGGAACCTTAACTTTGAGCAAATCATTCAATCCAATTGTTCATCTACTCAACCCTTAAACCTACCCAGACAGTGAGACCACCAAACCTGCTACTAACTTGAACACAAAAGTGACAATGTACCTAACATTGTACTCAAGTAGCATTATTAACACACCTAATATACAATGTCATCCACTGATCGTGGTGCCAGGGGTATTGCTAGACATAAAGCTCAGGCTCGGTTGTATATAGAGAGTAATGCCTTTATTCTGGTATTGCGACTCTTTATTAATACGCTTACATATAAAGTAAACAGTAACTCAAATCATTCACTAGTGCACTGCATAGCAAGTTTTACAGGGGCACATGCGACGCCCATATAAAACCAAAGAAACAGATGTGATTTTTGGCAAAAGGTTGTTGAGCTTTACAAACTGGAAAGTGGCTAGAATAAAACAGCAACACTTGCCTGATACACATTTTCCACCAGCAGGGCAATGTTTAGGAAATTACTCAACTTTAAGTGACATAAACAGTGGTGTAAAGTAGCAAATTACAAATACTCAAACTACTGTTATGTAAATATTTTTCTCAGAAATTGTACTTTAGTTTTAAAAATGTGTATTTTTACTTTCTCTTGAGTATTTTTTAATGCTGTATCGTATCGGTACTTTTACTCCTTTATTTTTTCTTGTCTATGAGGATTGGGTGAGTAGAAAAATCAGTCCTGTCCAATCAAATCGCACCAAGAAGATAAACCACATCATAGTGAACTACCTCAAGACATCGGCAATTTTAATTGCAGCAAACTGTTTGGAAGCATTAAAAGTGTTCAAGAAGATTTCCAAAATCTTTACACACATTCACCCTGAGACTGTTTAGATGCATGTCACTAATGAGAAGATGACGAATGTTTACTGTATTATGACCGAAATGGCCTTAAACAATCTGATGTCAACATGACATCAGATTGACAGTGTACCCCATCATAGGGACGTTGCATTTAGTTTGGAAATGAAAATCAGGCTGACGTCAGAACCCAACATCAAGCCGATGTCAATTTCTAACCTAAAATCAACCAAATATCAACGTCTAATGACATTACTACTATGACGTCTATCAGACTTTGGATTTTAGTTGCAATACGTGATGAATAAATGTCAGTATTTGATGTCAATATGATGTTGGTTTAAGATGTTGGCTCAACGATGGATTTTGGTCACTTTCTAACACAACCTAAAATCAACCATAACATGATTTGACGTCGATATTGGACATCAACATAAACGTACTTAGACTCTGGCTAGACATTGAATTTTGGTCACCCGACATCGTGACCTAAATATAACCTTATGACGTGTGCTTGTGGGCAACAACTAAATGCTCTACAGAATGTTACGTTTACACACATTTACATTTAGCATCCACAAATTACATGTAAATGCATCAGCTTTTCACAGCGATACTCGCTACTCATGAGAACTTTTGAAAGGGCTACTGTTTACTCATACTTTGAGTAATATTTGCAACAGATACTTTTACTCTACTTGCACTACATATTTAGGCAAGTGATGGTATTTTTACTCAAGTATGATTTTTCAGTTCTCTTTCCACCACTGGATATAAAGCAGAATAAGAGCACATCCAACTATCTTGCCCATATGCACTGTTGAAGCATGCTATGAGTGGCCCAAAACAAAAGATCTCAAAATAGTTAAGTAAATTTTGTCTCAGGTCATAAAAGTTCTAAAAAAAACAAATTGAGAAGAATTATCACTACATTGTTTAAAATAGGTGAAAGAAAAAAAGCCTCATCCATAAACTCAAGCAGATGCAGTTGTTAAATATTCTGAGCAAGATCAAAAGGCTTAATGCAAATCTATTATTCATTGCTCATTTCTGAATGATACCAATATTAGTGGAGGGCACTCTTAAGTGGGACTATAAGGACTAATACCTATGTTTGTTCTGTTGTGCAGGAGGAGCTGGAGAGAAAGTGCTGATGCCTGGCACAGGGTTCCTGACTGTAGGAGCCGCTAGTGCTCTGGCCTTCTGTCAGGTTCTGCGTGAGGAGTATCCCGATGTGCCATGCAAACTCAACCAGGTATGTCTGCACTGTGTCTCCCCAAACACTTCACTCTCACAGAGTTAAACTCCAGCCATAACTTGTAGAATGACTGGAAAAGTCTCATGAAAGAATTTCTTCAGTTCCTCAGTCTTCATCTTCCAACAGGTGAAAATCAACACAGGTGTTGCAGCCCCAGACCGAATGGCCCCAGGGTACCTGAACCACTTGGATTTAGGGGAGGCTGTGGCTACGCTGGTGGAGCGGCGCAATACATCCCACACAGTGTTCCCCGTGAGCTGTCCAGCCGATCTAAAAACCGTCATCTTGGAGGACAATCTGTAATAAAGCCCTGTCAGATTTTCCCCTTTGTATCCTGTTAGTCTTGCGTGTATCGTTTTATTGCATGTCAACCAAACATTTGCATATCGAAAAATCCTCAGCTTGTCGTCATAGTACAGTCATAGCCTTGAAATACTCAAAACAAATCAGTATAATAGCCGATGGAATGGTACAGATGCTTTTGGAGTGCGGTCGAGCGTAAACGCAGCCCTAGACATGTAAACTTGACATTGAAGAAGAGAGACGTGTGTGAGAACGGATCTGAAAACAAACTCTTTTTCGTGCTTGGAGGAGAAGGGAGGGAAAAAAAAGAAAAGAAAAACATGGCAGGTTGTTGGCACACTTGCGTCCCCGTAGCGTGACTCTCTGCCCTCGTTCACTGATCTGGCTGCTGCTTCCACGGCTCCAATTATTCCCAGCCGTGTGGCCCGTAATAAGAGGGATTCAGAAATGGCTGACCTCCAGACTGAAGAACATTGTAGTCTTTGTTTACTGTTGTCATGATATTTGCATAAACGCTTTAACGACATGAATGTAAAGAATGTAAATTTGCCATTAAAAGAATCTGAAGTAAGGAAAAAGTGTCCGATTAATGAGAGGAAAGGAGGTGAGATGGTTTTGTCAGTGTGTCTGCTGTGGTTTTGCATTGTGTCATCTTATTAAAAGTGACGGATCAACCAAAAATTAACAGTCTATTATGTGTGGTCCTAAAACTGTATGACCGACTTTATATTCTAGACCAGGGGTGACCAAACTCTTTCATTTGAAGGGCCAAAAACCAAAGTTGATTGAGGCTATTAGGCTGAAGGTAATCACACCATGAGTAATTTCCTAATTTATTTAAAAATAAATAGAAACCATTGCTTCACCATTACATTTTATAATGAAGTTATTCATAACAGAATGGAGTTACACTAGTTTTTGCCTTGATTTGATAGAGGACTGTGCAACAGACATCGGTGAGCAGTCAAGTGAGAGTATTTACATTTTAAAAACAGATTCATTTACAACATCTAATTTAAGTTAGCAATAAAATCCCCTCAACCATCTTTATGAATCTCTGCCCAGATAGGATTGTGGGCCAAATCACAGGTTACAATTGGCCAATTTTGGCCAACAGGACCAACTTCGGGTATCTCTGCTCTAGAACAAAAAGATAAAAACATTCTCATGACTAGGCATGGGACGATAACAGTTTAAGATTTTTTAAAAAGTCAAGGTTTTAAAACAGTCAAAATTTTCTTCTATACCATTCCAAAGGTACGTGAAAGATTTTTTATTTAATTAAAGTATCTCCAGCAAAAAAGATATCCAAAGATGCCTTTTTAAATTGTTAAGTAATCTGTGTTTTTGAAACGAATAAAGAGACAAGTAGTCAATGATTTATTTTAATTAATTTGCTGGACATGTTTACTGCTCCAAAATATTTCTCAAAATAAAATATATTGTGTTCAAAGGAGGAAAAAGCTGTTTTTTACTTAGACATTTAAAATTAATATATTTTCGAGCAGTAATCACAATACTGTGAAACCATGATATTTTCCAAGGTTATCATAGCGTCAGAATGGCCCACGCCTACTCACGATATTACTCAAAAACATTCAAATATGTGGATGAATATATTGCTAGCAATTTTTGTACACAGTTTGGGGTCAGTAGGGTTTTTAAACGTTTTAAAAGATCTTCTCCTGCTCACCAATGCTGTATTTATTCAATCAAAAATACAGTATAAGTTGTAAAATGTTAATGCACTATAAAAAAAACTGTTCAAAAGTAGTTTAGAATTAAAATATTAATTAGTTATATTAAAGATGAATTTTCAGCTTCATTACTTCAGTCACAAATCACTCTATTAGTTATAATTATTATTATCATTATTATTGTAAATATTAATAAAAGCAATAATGACTGAAGTAATAACTTAATTTAAAATTACTTAAAATAAGAAAGCAGTTTCATGAAAATTAAATATCTGACAATAACAATTTATTTTTTACATTTAATTAACCCTTTGATGCACAAGCTATAAAATAGATTTTAAAAAATAATACAGACGAGTCACTTTAGTCCCATGTAGTGCATCAAAGGGTTAATGGCACCTCGATGAACAGAATAATTAAACAAAACAAAAAATAAAACAAAATAAGAAAACGTATCTCATACTTTTGACTTGCTAGTGTAGTTCAGAAAAAGTCTGAATTTCGACATTACCTCAATTACAAGTTAATACATTGCAACTCTTGCGATTCTGCCTTTCACAATTCTGAGATATATAATTGCAAAACACTTCAAAATTGTGAGTTTATAAGTTGAAATTGTGTGATAATTGAATCATCTCTCAACTCTATAAGTCTGTAAGCTATGAATAATGACACAAGTTGCATTTATTGTTTTATGTTGCAAACAAGCTTTCATAAAAAAAAAATCATCTGCATAAAATAACATGGGTTTGAAACAATGTAATGTTAAGTGGACAATGACAATCCTTAAGTGAACACTGCCTTTAAATCTGAATTACAAACCAAAATAAGTATGCCAGTCTTCTTCACACCACCTAAATATAGTGTCTATTACTTTAGTACGTGTACAAGTGAAATAATTCATTACCAGAGCATTTATATTGAGTGTCTGAGGAAATTAAAATAAAAAAGGAAGAGAAAATCTCCCAGACTGCTAGTTTCTTTGAAGTAACCACTATCGTGACATGAGCCACAAAGTTGTGGGTGTGATATGACTTTCGCTGCCTGGATTTCATTAACTATCTGACTTGTAGTCCTTATTTCAAAAATAGTTTGGGAATTGAAAAATGAAAAACAACAGAAAACCAAGTATCCACTTTGGCAACCAAAGAAGTCCCATTCCGTGAGACCATACAGGACAAGAGCCAGAAAGACATGGTTTCTGATCAGTATTCTCAAACACAAAACTCACACTCGCAGGGCAGGTTCATCTCAGAATAAAAATTCTTTCATTTACTCACTCTCATGTTCTTACAAACCTTTTAACATCTGTCTGAACAATGGGAATCAGAAAATTACAGTTCACAGGAAAGTGTTAAAATTTAAGATTTACTTACATTTAGTCTCCCACATTTCTCTATTAAACAAAAAACATAAAAAAAATGGTAGATACTAGGGGAATAAATCTATTGAAAAAAGGAAACCTGTTAAAGTCAATCGCTACCAGTTTGCAAAATTCAGAATTATCCCTGATGAAGTGTGTGATGGATGCAGAATCTGTTGCAATTGAAAAAATTTAAAGTATTGAATAGATCGACAAACTCATTATTGCACAGCCATACTGAAGAATGACAAAGTTTCCATCTAGCCACATTATCCATTTCTATAAAAAACTCATATACTGCAGATCAGCGTTTGCAAACTTTCCCAAAGCACTCTTGCTGTGTTTTGATGCTTAACCCCAAGGCTTGTCACAGACTATTTTGGGTGCCAACTCAAAAACACAGACAGGAATTGGGGCATTTATATAGAGGGACAAGACAAGTGGACTGGAAGGGATTTAAAAGGCCGCCCATAGACAAAGAGTCACACAGTGAAGCCATTAGAGTAATCGTCATCCACACAGAGGGTATTCTAGGACAGAGGTTAAGCCTCCTGATTCAGAGTGGCATGTTTTCTCCTTTGGCCCGGAAACTTTCGGAACAATCCAGCCATCTGCCCATCAGGCGTCCCCGGCCTCCCTCCGCGCAATCGTTTCTCGAAGTCATTGCTTTGCCCTTCACATACTTCAACCGATCGATTAAAAGGTGGTCGGGAGCATTCAAATAAAACCAGGAACTCTTATTACATATTTCTTTATTGTTAGAAAATCCACATGCCATGCATTTTTAAACCATGCTCATGTGCAAGAACCAATCCTAAGTTCAAAGAACTTTGGAAAGGCTTTGTAAAAAAATACATGGTCACCATCTCTTAAAGAGGCTATGTTTACATTCATAATCATTCACATTATCAGTCTTCAGCAACAAACATTCTGCTCTAACAGACATTTACATTTATTACTGCCTTTTCACAAAATTTATTAAGCCTATTTTTTTTTTTTTGTATCAAATCCCCTCAACAAGTAACATCTGATTTTACAGACGGCATAGCAGCAGTAGTGTTTGTTGCACATCTACACTTTTTTCACATTGGTTTTTACTCGACAAGTAGTGAAACACATTTAAATAATGATTTAAGACTTTTTATAGATATAAAAACTACATAAAACCTACACTGCATAACATGATGCTTAATGGTATATTTTCTTGCACAGCTCTGTCCATTTTGAGGCTAAAATCCTGAGCTAAAAGAATCTCTCTTATATTTTTTGTTTAATAAATAGAATGACAAAGCTTATTTTGCTTTAGTTTTTTGTTTATATCTCCTTTCATAAAATATTTTGTGAAACTCAAATTGACAAAAATAAAAAAAGCCAATGGAATAACAAAATATTCACATAAAAAAAAAAAAAACTAATATTTTCCCTATGTAACATCTGGCTCATTTCATTCACTCTCATATAAATCTTCTTTTTTTCTACTTTGGTGCTAACACGATCTCGCTTCTAACCACATTTCGATGAACTTGTAGAGCCCAAACAGGACGAATAACCCCCTCCAGTCCTTCAAAAGCAGCGGATCGGGACGATGCGAACAGAACTTGAAGCCTGGCCTGATCTGGGACTGAACAGGCTGAGCAAAGGAGATGCGGCATTTCCCTCAAAACAAGACGGGATGTTTTCTGTTGGTTAAGGCACCTGGAACCAAAACACAAGCGGTTCTAATTAAGCTGGATGAACGAGAACAACGTGAGCCAGCCAGATACTTTAAGAGCTGAGACTGTTCCTCGGGTAAAAGTGAATGAAAGTGTTCTCAATCGCTCTGGCAGTGGCTGAAAGCTTGTTTGACATTTTGGCATGTTTAACAGTCTCCATTGGGTAATCTAATTAGAACTTAAGCCACCGTAGACTATCATTATTTCAGTAACGCGACCTTAAATAGAAACTTCACCCTGTGGCCAAAAAAACAAACACTTCAAGTTGTGAAGTTAAAAGTTCAGTAAGGTCGATGTAATGCATCTAAAGTAGCACATGTGGAGAAGATCCAGATTCACCGCCCTGACACTCGCTTCACAATTTCATTAAAATTGTTAAGAGATAGATGAACAAAAGTTTAAATGTGTGACAGCACAACACTGACAACTGTCAAGTTAAATATACAGACAAAATAGGAGTTCTGATAAATACTGTCATGTAGAATTAGTTTAGTTTATCCCCACAGGAACTCTCCATTTTGGACTAACTTTAATTTAACTGAAAAACTCAGAATTACCAACTCATGTGTTATTGCACTAAATAACCTGTAGATTGATCATTACTGTGAAGCATCAAGAGAGAAACACAACTTGTAATAAGGAAAAAAAGAACCGATACAAGAACCTATATTTTGCACTTAAAAACTGAAATTTGGAGTGAACCGTAGGACACGTTCCTGAAATCAGGTGATATTTGGCAGCACCATCAGGGGTTGCATGTTGAATGTGCTAATATAGCCTGGAAAGCAAATGATGTCAGGGCTTTGAAATATTGCTTTGTTACTTTCGCCCCTCGTTTTTTTTCCCTCCTCTCTCCCCAATCTTAAGCAAAAAAAATGCATTAAAAATACATTCTATAAACATACAATATATTTGTGTAATGATAGGGAAAATAACCCTTTAAATCTAGCATCGAGTACAGTTTTTAAAACTCCAATTTAGTATTTTACGTGATCATATAAATTTTTTTAAAGGTTTAAATAGTTTATATTTCCTTTTTAGTTTATTATTTGAGGTGTTTAATTAGTTTTAGTTATTATTAAAATTATATATATATATATATATATATATATATATATATATATATATATATATAAATAAATACTTTTATTTTATTACTACTATTACTATTAATATTCTAAATTATGTCATTAGTCATACGATATACACACAGTGCCTTTTGAAAATCATCATACCCCTTTGAATAATTATTATTACTGTCAAATAGCCAAAAATCAATTCATAATCCAAATAACTTTTCCAGGCTTTAAAACTTTATCCTAAAGGTCTATTAAAAACAGTGTAGTATGAGAAAATGATTCTTAATTATAGTTCTGTTTAGTAAAAGGGGGTCATGGTGGCGCAGTGGGTAGCATGATCACCTCACAGCAAAAGATTCACTGGTTCGAGCCCCGGCTGGGTCAGTTGGCAGATTTTTACAGGGTATGATGATAAAATGATGAATAAACGAATCAATATCTAAAGTCGTACAATTTGAAAAAACAATACATTTACGGTTAATATTACAATAATAATATTTATAAACCTCCATTTGGAAATCCTAAAATACAAGTGACATTTTTAAACACATCAGTTAACCCTATTGACCTTATTTTTCAATGTGGAAGTGCTTGTTTTTGTAATTGTTTTAGAACTTCCAATTCAGTTGCTGGGATAAATGACTAGGAATAATAATCTGCAGAAAACAGTTAAACTACTTGCTCTACAAACAAGTGTTTGCATGATTATACAGAAAAAGCAGAGCTAATTAATAAGAAAAAATCAGTTTGTAACATTAAGCAGCTGAACGAGCTGTTTTTAACGTCTAAAATGAATGAGACCGGTAGATGGTAAATGGCTGCACCTGCTCGTACGCAGAGAATAAGGTGAACAGAGCCGCACGCATCATATTTGATACACAAGTTTAAGACCCATAAAATATCAACTTGTTCAATACTTTGTTTAAAAACCTGTTGTATATGATTTGATAACAGGAAAAAACAAAGTGAAAAACTGCCTTGTCAAAATGTCAAGGGCAAAATAATTTTTTTTGTCATAAAATTGACTTGTTATGAGCAAAAAGTTGCACAAACGGCTGATGTATCAAATGTGATACAAAATAAATATTTAAAAAAATATTTATGGCAAAAATTTGTTTGTTTGAGATTGTTTAATAAACATCTCAGTTGCAGAAAATGTGAATTTCCTGCCTATTTTTGATTTCTGAAGTCTTACAGGGTTAAACGTCTTAAACTAGCTTCTTGTGTTCTATGTATATTTTGTTTTGTATGTTTTTTGACAAAAATATTGAAAACAACTTCAGAGGAGAGTTAATATAGTTAACTAAACTTTTATGGTTTAAAAAAAATAATATCTAAAAAAAGAAATGAAAAAAGGGCTGTGATCCAAAATGCAGCTTAAACAGGCTCACTTTAGTTTTTTGGTGCACAGCCTTGGTGAGGTACTGTGAGTGTATGAAGTCAGTGGCTGTACCTCTGTCAGGTGGGTTTAGGAGCCGGTGGTGGAGCTCCACTCGGCAGCATTGACTCGACATACGTCAGCGCGCTCTGCAACGAGGTCAGGCAGTATCCTTCCTCTCCGATCAGATACCTGCACACAAAAATAAACACCACATTAGTGCTTCTCCTCACAAGGGAAAACAAGAGCTTTTCCAACTTCAGATGAACCCCTCTGTTAATGAGACAAAGACACGAGATCAAACTCAAGCCAAGAGTCATCATGTAAAGTGTCAAAGAATGTGAAAGGGAGAAAATGAGAAATCCAGAGAGCAGGATCTTCTCATTGACGGTTTAGTTCATGAAAAAGTTCACTCAAGAATGAAAGCCAATATCTTCCCTGTCATGCTAAACTATTTTTCTGAGCTATGAAGCCTTTAATTTAAAAGGTGATTTATCTGTTGTGCTATGAGCATGAAAAAAAGAAAATAGGTGAGCATTGTGGGACAGATCATGTCATATTTTGCTTCAAATATGAAATATGTATTTTAACAGGAAGAATAGCCACCAGAAAATATAGCCACCACTGAACAGACTGTTGAAAGGGAAATTTACATTATTTATTAATTTTTTCAGCTTATAAAACAAACATCCGCAAATGTTATATTTAGACATGTAAATGCTCCAATGCTTTAAAACCAAATGCAAACAAAAATGCAAGATCATGAGTAGGGCAAGACACAATCTGCAGAAATTTATTGCCATTTCTGCTGAGAAATTTGTAAAAAAAGAAAAAAAAGAATTAATAAAAAAGACTAAATTCAGCGGATTTGTGGAATGATTTTAGGAATATCATAACTAAATACTTAATACATGAAATCAAAAATTCGTTTTAACTTGTAATGTTTAATATGCAAATTCAATTAGAGCCACTTGTTTGTTAAACAAAGCAAGCCTCTTGTGTAATACATCTACTAAAAGACAAAAATTACATAAACCATATAAATCATATCAACATTTTTATATTACTATTATTATAATCACAATAATATTAGTGAAATGAATTTAAAACTTAAATACAAAATTCACATACATTTACACAAGTAAATACAAACTCGATGGGCTAAAAATCTGTGGAAAATCTGCAGATTTCTGCATGCGCAGATTCCACAGTGTGGGGCTAGTTATAAGATATGAATATAAATATTTAATTATTTAAAATAGTAGTGATCACTATAAATCACTTAATCTTTAATATTTTATTAAGTGTAGGTTAACACAAAAAAATATATATAAACAAGTTGCTTAATTTTAACAAATACACCTTGCATTAAATGACTATAGCTATGTTTCATCCACCCATTTAATGCGCATAAATCATTGTCACTAGCCTCCTGACGGTGTATGCAGTTATACTTATGGCAGGTATTATTTGGTACTTTGGTCATTTATTTAACTAATTTGGCAACTGCCAATTGTCATCAGGGAAACAGTTTGAATTTTCGCTTAGTAAAAAAAACCATTAGTGTTCCATTTGGGACGACACATACATATACTATGCTGTTGAGCGTGCAAGTGCATAAGTGCATATTGTGCCATTTAGGACGCAACCTATGTCTCATTAGATGGAAGTTTCAGTTCTGAGCATAAATCTAATTCCTAGCTCTGTATGAAAACATACCTAATGAACAATAATTTTATCCGTATTTGGCATGGGACGATAACTGGTTTCAAGGATTACTGAGACAGTTTTAGAACCGCTAAAAGTTTCTGTTATACCTTTCCAAGATATTCTAGATGCCTTTTTAAGTTGTAAAGAAATTTGTGTTTTTGAACCTAACGAAGATAGCAGAGGATCAATTATGTATTTTAATTATTTAGCCTGACACATTTACCGTTAGAAAATATTATAAATGTTACTTAAAATAAAATGATCCTGTTCAACAGGAAGGGAGAAAAAAAAAAAAACTTCTGTCTTTTTTACCCAGACATTTGAAAAGAACATATTTTAGAGCACCAATCACAATACTGTAAAACTCAGATATTTTTATCCAAGGTTATCATATTGTCAGCCAGCCCATGACTAATGCTATATTTCAAAACATTCAATTGAGGACATTTCATTCAGTATTGCTAATAAAACAAGATCTGTCCAATGTGCCAAAAAAAAAAAAAAAAAAAAAAAAAAAAAAAAAAAAAAAAAAAAAAAAAAAAAAAAAAAGAGTATACCTCCTATCATAGCTTCACTCATGCTGTAGAGAGCTCCACCCTCAGATACAAGCCACCAAGCTGCATAAACATCTAAAGAGATTTTATTTGTATTTTTTACAGGGAGAGAAACCCCAAACCAGAATATCCCCAACATTCCTTGTTAAGAGGCGATCTAACCAGCCTGTAAAAATGTCCAGTTTTATACTGATAAACAGAGCTCAGGGCTGTGGTCTGAGCAGACACGCGAGAGTACAGCGCAGGAGGGGTAACAGGAATACCCACAATGCCATTCAGGAAACCATTTGTGTAGGTGACCGTTTGACCCAAGATCTTGTTGATTTACTCTTCAAACACACACAAAAATGAAAGCTGGCACGAAAGTTGGAGTAATATTACCTGTGTGAACTGCAATGTTGTTTTATGAGTTTATTCCCACATGTTATAGACTGGAGGGTATTTTTCTAGCTGAAATATTCAGATACATGACATTTTGATTATTGGTAGTGAGCGAGCTGGTGTTCTGTCGATACTTGATACATGCCCAAATGACTGGCGCATAAAATGATGAGAGAAGCCAAAACTCCCAAACAGCCTCATCTAACCCAACATTATCATTAACTGATGCCAAAAAAATGACAAAGTCAATCTGTTTTAGAGAATGCCAGAGATATCCCATTCTACACTGCAAAATATTCACTGTAGATGCAAATCTAGATGTTTAACCCATTGTAACAATAGCATTTAACCCATAGCTCAATCAATCTGACAAACATTTTGCATGCTTGAGTTTCCTGCTTTATCAGCAATTAAGAATTTTGTTCTAAATACTTATTTAACAAGACTGCATTAAATTGATCAAAATTGATACATTTAAATAAATAATAATAATAATAATAATAATAATAATAATAATAATAATAATAATAATAATTCGCAAAGACATTAGCATACTAGGGACAAATATTTTAAGAGACTAAGTGAACATTCTATTTATTACCCTTTTGATATTTTTGAACTAATTTATGAGATTATTCAAGCGGTTTTAACACAAACAGCAAACAATTAGGAACAATTTGGAAAAATTGTCATTTGTAATTGTTCACCCTCATTTATTTTCATAAATAAGTTTTACCCTTTGGTTCCCCCTCCAAACAAAAAAATAATAAAAATAATAATTACATTTAGGGCAAATAAAATCCCATTTCAACCTAATAAAACTGCAATGTTTCATCCCAGTGCCACTTAAGCAAAAACAAGCAAAAAGTCATTCTTTCTTAACAGGCTTCAAATTTGCGATCTTCAAAAAGCCATATTATGGAAATTAAGTAATTGTTTGTAGGAATGCATGATATATTGACGGCCATATTGTTATCGGCCGATAAATGCTGTTTTTAATGTTATCATTATCGGTCTGATGTTAAAATTAGGCTGATATCTTTAAGCCAATTATGTAATTGTACAGAAATGCCTGCCTTGTGCATGCGAAGGTCAAACTCATTCAGACTTCTATAGTCCAGTGAACTATAACGTAGCTTTTTCCCTTACATTGTTTATTCCATCAAAGTCCGTCCTTTCTTAGTGTAGAATTGGTGTGTATTAATAACTCAGTAACCAACCATATTCCTTATCATTGTAACTATGTTTGATAAAAGTGTCAATTTGTATTTTGGTTGAAAATGCCTCAAGAAAATATTACATGTGTAAACATAATGACAGCCATGCACATGTGCTAAACAACTCGTCGGACTGTTTGTAATCTAATATGATTGTTTATTATTATCAACATGTTGCTTAGGTGTTGTTGATGTAAGATTGTTTAACCTATTAATTTTATACAACAGTCAAGTTGTATGTTAATTTGCTATGCAAAGAAAAAAAAATATTTTTGTCATGCTAATTTATGCGAAATCATGAATATAGGTCTAAATAATCACCTTGCAATTTTGAAATTATGGCTTTGAGTAGGCTATTCAGATCATAAGATCAGTTCAAACTTAAGTTAAAAAAAAAATCTGTTTTTTTTATGTATAAAACAATAACATTTTAAAATATTTATATTTATATAAAAGTATATCGGTTATCGGCCTCCAAATCTTGAGTTATCGGTTAACGATATCGGCCAAAAAAATCTAAATTGGTGCACCCCTAATTATAAGTGGTTATGAATGCAAGTGTGTTTAAGTGGTAGTACTTTTTTATGTGACCTCACACAAAAATAAATAAAATCATCAAAAATTAAAATGTAGCTTCAATTAACAACCCCAAATTATAATAAATTGATTGCTTTTCATACTGTATGTAAAATGTCTTGTTTTTTTCATTTATTCTTTTAGATGAATGGGTTTGAACTGTAAAGTTATAGACAGTATGGCCTGAAGGTGAGTAAATTATTTTATGCGTGAACTATAATTTTAAGCTACAAGGCACTAGGTACAGACTTAGAGTACATACCCCTCATGGATGAACTCTTCTAATGCAGCACATTCAGACACCAGCTGAGGCATTTCACTGCGCAAAGCCACAAACGCCAGGATGGGCAACAGGTCATCGGCACCTCTGAGAAAAACAATAGGAGAAATTAAACCATTAAATATGAAGTAGACATAATAACATGAATAACATGAATAAATTTCTTTAAAGGATAAATTACTCTCAAGGAATACACTAACATGATTTGAGCACGCTTGCGTGAGAATGCAACCGGGTGTCTCATTTCCTGTCGGACTGCAGGACACCTGATACGTTTCATCCAGGTTAGAATAGCTCTACATACCATCCTCATCTATGTTTTAGCACTACTTCTGCTGCTAATATAATAACACTCATGCACAAGGAAGGTGTGATAGGAGAACGCCGATGTTAGCTTGTTCAAGCCTGTTTGTTAAATTACGGCACAATCAGAGCAGGAGTTCAACTGCTTAAGAGTTTAGTCATGTGACCTAAAATAAATAAAAACAAAGTATAAGGGCCATTAAAATGAAAAAGTGAGTCAACGCATGAACTTTGCAAAAAAAGCATGTAATGAGGACTAATATGCCCACTCATGCTTAAAAGACAAAGATGGAGAGACAGAGGAAATGACTGCTGTGCAGAAGGACACAACAATATAAACTCAAGTGTGAGCAAATGTAATCCAAAGAGGAGAAGAAAGAACGAGTGAGAAAGAAGAGAGACAATGGAATAAAATAACTGAAAAAGGGTGAGAATGGCTAAATTGTTCATGTTCATGCATGCATGAGGACATTCATTCTCCCTCACAACCAAACAAAACTTAAAAGCAAAACAAAAGGCAGAATGCGCCTTGGCTGTGATGCCAGGGCAAAATCAGGGCAAGTCTCACAATGACACACTCAGATCACAGATGCCTTTGTAGCCCAATTACTAAACTGATATTTAAGCACGGAATGGAAAACACCCAACAGTAAATGGCACGAAAAAAGTAGTGGGGAGAATGATCAAGAACAAATATCAAAATAATCATATAACAGTACAGTTATCAAAAAAGCTTTAGACTACAAATATAAATCAGATACTTTAAAGTAGGGCTGCACGATTCTGGCTAAAATGAGAATCCCATTTTTTTTTTTTAAATCAAAATCATGATTTTCTCACGATTCTGTAGTATTACAGGTTAATATGAGTAGGCTATTATTATTTCCCAAACATATTGCAAAAAAACAACAATAATATTAGGCCTATATGTGTAGGTCTACTGTTGGTTAAAATGCTCAATTTTGTATAGACTTGGAATAGTGGACTTGAACAGACTTTAAATCTGTCCTGTTAATTCACAGTAAACTTATGGCATCAGTATACAACTATGCTGAAGTTGAATTATGTTTGAGACATATGCTTGTCATTTTAACATTATTAGACAATTTTTTCACCGGTAAAACGAAACATTTGTCATTATCAGATTCCCTCTTTCATTAAATAGGCTAGAATAGTTATTCTGAGCTAGTAAACATTTACCTTTCATGCACGACACTTATGTTCGATATGAAAGAAAAAAAGATTTTATTATTAATCCGGGGTCACCACAGCGGAATGAACCGACAACTCAGCACGTTTTACGCAGCGGATGCCCTTCCAGCCGCAACCCATTTCTGGGAAACATCCACACATTCTCATTCACACTCATACACTACGGACAATTTAGCTTACCCAATTCACCTGTACCGCATGTATTTGGACTGTGGGGGAAACCAGAGCACCCGGAGGAAACCCACACGAACGCAGGGAGAACATGCAAACTCCACACAGAAACGCCAACTGACCCAGCCGAGGCTCGAACCAGCGACCTTCTTGCTGTGAGGCGACAGCACTACCTACTGTGCCACTGCATCGCCTTCTAATCATAACTCTAAAATGCGATATGATAGTTTAAATGATGTGCGTGCTTTCGGTTTTACTTTCACTGCTGAGTGCGGTTCAGGTCATGTCATGGCTGCCGTCGCTTTGAGAAAAAAAAAAAAACATGCAAATCATACTTCCCACGCTGCTCCCAAACCATCTGTCTGTGCTATAAACTGAACGTTATTTACAACTTTATTACCTGTTATTCACAGCCCATGCAGGCTTTGTTCACTAAAGTAGACTTCATTTGCAGGCAGACAGGCACGCATGCACGCACGACCTCTCGGTAGTAAACAAACAAGTGCGTCAGCTTATGTGTGATTTCATGGCTGCGAATACGTCATTACATAAAGATAAAAATGACTTTTCATGTGAATTATACGTTATAAATAAAGTATGTGAGGGTGCCTTCACACTAGCACTTTTACCCCACACCTGGGTTCGTTTCACACCAGTGTACGGTATATTTAGCTAGTGTGAGGGTGCTTTCACACTAGCATTTTTAGTTACACCCTGATTCATTTGATGTCAGATTTCAGATTACTGTACATTTAGCTAGAGTAAGGGTGCTTTCACACTAGCACTTTTGGTCCACACCTGGGTTCATTTGATGTCAGAGTATGGTACGTAGCTTGTGTCTTCTAAACTTCTGAGGTCCACCTGAAAGAGGTGGTCTGGGGTATAGTTCACATGAACTCTGGTCCAGTTCACTTCTGGTATGAATGCAATCGTACCAAATAACAGAAGTGAACTGCCAACAGTACAACAAACTATTGTTTTCATAACGTTCATTCGTGTGCGTGTGTGTGTGTGTCACGTACTGTACCTTGGTGACAACAGGACTAAGCCATGGCTATTACAGTGAAGATGTCTGCTTGTCTCCTTCAAAAACAGCTTTTGCAGACATCGCGTTATGTTCTGAACGTTTATAATATGTTTGCGGCAGATAGACACGAGTTGCTTTCTGTATGTTCAAAATTAAGATTTACTAAAAGCACAAGGACTGCGATGTGCTTTCCAATTTTGCGCATCGCTTTTATGTCCGTTACCTAGCAACAGCCATACACACAACAGCAGCTCTATGACCGGGGTTCAGAAGAAAATAAGACAGTGTGAACTAGGGATGAAACGGTATCAGAATTTCACGGTACGGTAATACCTCGGTATGAATGTCACGGTACGGTATTTATTGAATCATTTACAGGAAAAACAAAACTTATGAAAATACTCCAAAAAAGTGCCAAAAGTGTCAATGACATACAAATTAGCCATCTATCTTTAAGCTTTGAAACAGGAACTTCAATTTTAATAACAAAAAATTATTAAACCATGTAAAAAAATAACGTTTCAATTTAGTATTGTTGAAAACTCACATTCAACATTTAATCACTCACTCACTCACTTAGATAGAGATGGGTTTTAAGGAAAATTATCATATAAATATAATCTGGTAAAAGCTGGTATCTCTGGGCATTTACAATGTCCCCTGCAACAGAAAAAACCCCTCTCGTTTGGAACTGAGGTTTCTGGGACAGAGAGATATGACTTGGCCCAGGTTGACAGCAGTGGGTAACGTTGTGCATTGTCTTTCCCCCACTTGAGAGGACAAGCCATGAGTGAGATAGAGGTCTCATGTCTGCATCAATCTGAACAGTGTGCTGTGTCACACCCTCCGCCCCGCCCTTCAGTAGGCGCGAGACAACACCGCTCGAGTATGCGCGCTCAACCCCCCCTCCCCGCTTTACAGTACGCGCGCGACAACACAGCTGATCAGAACGCGCGCGACAACACCGCTATTCAGTAAGCGCGCGACAACACAGCTGATCAGAACACGCGCGACAACACCGCTATTTAGTACGCGTGCGGCGAAAACACCAGCTTCAGGTTCGATCATTTCCAGCTCTTTTTGATGCCCGCTACTAGCAGCACACTCAATTTCCGCATTACTGTATCTGTAGCAACAACAGACCGCAAGGGATTATGGCCAAGCCTGGGCTGATGGGAATTGTAGTTTCTGCTACCTCCCATTCGCTTCATTTGCCTGAGCAAATTTTCTCAGAAGACCTATAGTTTTACCGAGTCATGCGACTACGGTAATATCGAAAAAAATTAATATTGCGGTATGACGGTATTTACAATACCGTTACATCCCTAGTGTGAACACAAACTAACTGAGAAGGTGGCAAGGGGGGACAAAAGAACTTGGGTACGGTCCAGGCAATTGAACCAAGTGTGAAAGCACCCTGACTCTTTAAACACTGTGTCCAGTTTGTTGAGCATATACAAAACAATGTGAAGACCTGTTCGACCACATTTACGCTTCTCTCCTGACCTCAAAAATATAATTGGCTGAATCATAGAAAAGCAGAATTAAGATCGTGTGGAGGGTCGAAATCGTGATCTTTTTTCGATTAATTGTGCAGCCTTACTCCAAAGACAGGTTATGATATATTTGAGTCAAGTTGTCAGACATCTTAAACAATGACATTTATGTATTTAAATGACATAACTGATCAAATGACACTTAATGACAGTTGTCATAAGCATGCATTAATCTCATTCATATTCAAGACATCCTTATAACATCCCCTTGACCCCAAAATCTGAAGAATGTGTCATGAATGAGTCAGTTTCATGGATATACAGGATAAACAGCACTTGACAAATGGATACATTTTAGCTAAACATTGATATTTGAGAACCACAACTGCAAATCATCCACAAGAGTTAAAGACGGTGCCCTAAAAACAAGCATCTGCATCATCCGTTGTCATGGGGTGCTAAACCGCTGCGCATGTGCGTCAGCAGCGAGACACTGCTCTACAAACTGATGCAAAGAGACACATGTAGATACTGTATGACGCACGGGTTTATTTTATCCATATTTCCTAGTATGCTGCAGGAAATCGAGCGAGAAAGATGAACATGCAGCTGGTTTTGATGGGTGTGGCTGAGTCAAGAGGTTACAAACATCATAACGGCCCACGTAATCTTCCAGCACAGAACAAATTTCGGATGTTTTTCAAGAGACTGATGCTGAGGTCTGTGGGAGATTTAACACGGGGAATTTGAGCTAAATGCATTCACCCAGACAAACCTGAATCACCTCACAAAATAAACCAACAAATCAGGGTGCTTCTCACACCCGTTCATGATGTGTTCACAGAATTCAAGGTTTTTAAATTAGAAAAAGTGACACTTCAATCTCAATAGTACCAATTCGTTTAACAAAAGTTGCGAACTTTTAACGAACTAGAACATTTGCCGAGTCAAAAAGTCTCTATCTGCAGTAGATAAGCTCACTTTTGGTTAGAATAATTGGATCAGCTGACCTAAACAGTTGTGCACTCAGACCCTCCCACAAAGTGCATCAAGGCCAAAGTCTGCTCCAGACAGGGCGACCCACTTAGAAAGGAAGAGAGCTCTGAGTGCCCCGCGGGGGCCAGAGGGTCAAGACAAAACCCCTGCTGAGCTTTGGCCTCTGTAGGGTCTGATGAAGTCTGACACAAGGCCAGCGGACAAGCAGGAGATTTTTCTCAATAGTGTTCCCAAACTCCAGCATTAAGTTCCTTCATCTCCATTTCTACTTCTGTAAAAAGGACAGTAACAGAGCATCACAACAACTATAAGAATTGTGCATACTCACATAGCGGCTGATCTGGGTGGAGGGTCATTTTCCTGTAGGAGGCGGTAGTCTTCGGCGCAGCCACAGATAATTCGTAGAGTTCGAACTATTACGAAAAGCACATTGAAAAAAGAAAAACAGTACCCATCATTCAACTTATCACGAACATGTATATGAGGAGTTTAGATGTAAAAGCCTGTAAGTGCCATGTGAAATTTGCTTTTAAATTGAGCGTTTTTTTCAGCATCCTGCATTTATGGCCTTACTTCACTTTTATGGTCATGAATAGGTTATTTTCTTTGCCTTTAAAGTGAAATAACTGTACAAACATACAAGGCTGAGAAAAACGCTCATTTTAGTAGAAATATTTCAGATGGCACTCAGAGGCTTTTGCATCTGAACTCTTCACATATACACCAAAAGTTATGGAAAGGTACAATATATATACACCAATATACAAATGTAAAAAACTGAGAGAAAAAAACAAAAACATCTCTATAAAGGAAAAAAAAACAATGAGATAATCAGATTTTCAACCTTTTCTGATTCGACCTCATGCTTTTTTATGCCTTCTTAATGTGTTCATGATGATGGTCAAAATTACACATCAAGTCATATAAGTCCAAATTGATTATAAAATGTCATAATTTGTTAAACGTGACAACTAAGTAACTCAATTTTGCCATTAACTGTAATTCTCTCAAATTCAACTTAGTAATAACAATCAAAAAATACCATAACAGTCTGTATTTAATTTTGCTACAACTACGATAATGGACTTGATTTTATAATTATGAAAGTCATGATATACCAAGTCTTATGACAGTCAATCTGTGACAAATTTTAAAAAGGTGCTAAACCTGATTTTCTTCATGGTCCGATTATACAGTCATTAATGAAATTGTTGTATAAAATTTCAATGGGATAGAAAGAGTTTTCAGAAAATCTTAGATGAGTATTGTCTGGATAAATCTGATTTCTTTAGGTACCTGCAAACCAGGACCTACTTTAATAGTGAGATTAGAGGCTTGGAGAACCTTTCCCCCACTTTAATTGATTTAGTTATTGACATCTATAAGAACACAAGACAATAGGAGAATTGTTTCAAATTTGTATTCTTCATTCCAATCCACCAAGGAACACTCAACAAATGAATAAAATGGGAGAGAGAATCCAACCTAGTTATCTCAGTGGAATATTTGTTTAATATCTGCTCTGTACAGGCCACTGCTTCCAGCTCTGGTATGTGGCAAGATTTTTGCTGGAGGAATCTTACCAGATACTTTATAACCCCCAAGTTAACATGCATGCAAGCACGGGAGGAGGACAGGGGACAGTGCTGGAGGAAATGTGGGGAAGACTCAGCAAAACATTTTCACATATTTTGGAGTTGCCCAGTCATTCAGTCATACTGGTAGGATGTAATGCAAGTAATATGAAATATTTTTTGGTGATGGAGAGGACTTTTACAACAATTTACATGGAAAATATTGCAGCCAACTCAATGGTAAAAGACAAGCATTTATTAAAAAGCTGACGCGCAAAGTTTTTTAGTTTTTTTTTACTTTTTCTTCCATAAAAAAATAAATAAAATGAAATAAAAATAAAATATAAAAAAGGTATATGATTCTAGAATATGATCAAACCATGACATTTATCTGGCAGAATTTTTTTTTTTATGTTATCACTTTTTCCCCCCTACCACATAGTAACATACAGAGATAAACAGAAGCTATGACATTTGTGGGTTGATCTCTCCTAAAAAAAAAGTGTGATCTATCCACTTGATTATGTGCTGCAATTTGTTTTTACTGAATCAGTTTAGAATATTTCACTTAAATTCTAATTTAAATTCAGTTCTGAAATGAAATACAGTTGTACACGTCTGACATCTTACCAATACACTCCAGTTTCTTCTGAGGACAATATTCTCTACACAGAAGCTTCAGCTCCTGTACTGCTGACTCGTATGGGTAGGAACCATGCAGCACAGCCAGGTCTCTTGGGAACAATTTGGAGGCAACACCAACATCACCAGGTGAAACATGATGGTAAAGATGCATGCTGCTTTCCACAGCCTGTTCCCGTTCTCCATGCACCTTCCTGAATTATAAGAGAAAGCACATAAGATAAAACCATACAGCAGCCATAAAGGTGCTTTAATAACTGTTTTTTGAGAGCAACTGAAAGGGAGGATTTATTCCTGATTTATTATTCTGATTACTGCTGATTTACTTTCAGTGTGCTGTAACTTAAAAGCTAAGTATATGATATAAATTGTCAAGTTAAAAGTGCTGATTTTTAGCTAAATAGTGCCATCTACTGCACAAAGTCTAGATCATTTATGTAATGACACTACCATCCAATGTAGCAATCTGAGAATCGAAGAATAAAATATTTATTCATGATAAACACCATTTAAAGTTCATGTTTATGTGTATTATATTGTTTTAATATTTATTTATACATTAAATCAGTACTACAGTAAGCTTTTGGTTCTCTTTTGGCAAGAAGATAGGGTTTAAATGGAAAGACCTGATTCCACCAACACAATCACTGGATAAGAGAAGTGACGTCTCATCTTAAAATGGAGAGAATAAGGCATACCATCAAAGGGTCTGTTGAGACATTTTATAAGGTCTGGCATCCCATTTTTAACGCTTGTGATGAAAATAGAAGCACACAACATCACAACGAGGAAAAAAGGAACTTGCGTCATATTAGCGTACATTATTCATGTCATGTTTTCATTTATTATTTTCTCTATGGACATCTGATAATATATTGTTCCAAGATCTGGGGTGCGTAAATTACTCAATTAGCTGTATTTGGGTATTGATGATTTGACATGATCCAGGATCGTTTTGTTCTTCAAAATTTATCTAAGAGTTGTTGTCATAGCAACAGGTCTGGTAGCTCAAACCCGGGACCTCGGGAGCAGGTTCATTCACATAAACAGGATTAGATGAGGGCTTTTCAAACAAAGGTGAACTAAAGGATGCACCAAATGCTGATATTTACTTACACCAGGAATATATATATATATATATATATATATATATATATACTGTATATAAACGCAATTAACGCAGTTGCAGTTTTTTTTTTTTTTTTTTTTTGTGGCCGATGTCTGTTCAACATGCAAAGAAATATGGATTTGAGTATATAAGACCAAGGAAGCGCTTTGAGAAGGAAAGTTTCAGTATAAAATAATGTCGCATGCTATCCAGCGTTTCCTCCAGAGTTTCAAGCCATTTCGGGTGTTTCATTTTTAATCTTTAGACTTTAACTGCAGTTCAGCAGTTCACTTTTATTCAGCAACATATTGGTTATGCCCGTGACAATTATTGGATAAAAATATGAAGTAAAGACTGCTGGAAGAGTGTTGTTTTAATGGAATTTGATACCACATGGCGAACAGAAAGAAAAACCATTTCTCAGTGACTCTGGTGGTCCTTTAAGGTAATCAAAAATCGCTGTTTACATGGTAGACTCTTAATCAAAGTATTATCTTAATCATAAATCGCAGTATTGGTGTCCATGTAAATGTACTCAGTGAAAGTGCCAGATGATATCGCAACTTTTGTAAAGCATCTGCTTCTTGATGCTGCATCAGAATCATTGCTTGTAAATACAGCCATACTTTAGAATGCTCAGTTAAGGCAAATTTGAAGAACGTAATCATGAATCTGAAGGGAGTCGCTCGCTGGGTGCGCTGTACCGTGCGCGTTTGTGTGTATGTGTGCATTTTCTAGCAACAAGAGCAAACACCTGACATAGCTGACAGTGTCCAAAGTCCCTTTAAAGGTATTCTATATGTATTCTATAGTCTTTGCAGTGTCCGTATCCCTCAAAGCTGTTAGGAATTAAATGTTTAGAGATGGTGTAACCAAAGTCCCTGGAGGAAGTCTGTAGTCTTTGGTACATGCATTTGATGTACCCCCTTGGCCACATTGTCCCCCGATAATGTCAATAGCAGGGGTGTCAAACTCAATTCCTGGAGGGCCTCAGCCCTGCACAGTTTAGTTCCAACCCTGCTCCAACACACTTACCTGTAGGTTTCAAACAAGCCTGAAGGACTTAATTAGTTTGATCAGGTGTGTTTAATTAGGGTTGGAACTAAACTGTGCAGAGCTGCTGCCCTTTTGGAACTGAGTTTGACACCTGTGGTCAATAGACTGGACTGTCTTAGCAACTGGCTAAATGTTAGAGGACAAAGCAAAATTGTTTCTACTTTATAATTAAAGTTCGCAATACAACTTTACAATGAGTACAATTGTTTGTATTCAATACTTTATTATTATTATTATTATAATTTTTCATATTTGCAATGCCTGTATTTTGGATTTGTAGTCCACTTAAGTCTGGAAATCATTAGCATTGATTGTTTTGAAATTGAAATGACACTTGCATGTCTGTGTTTTTATTTTTTAAATAAACTTGGCTTTTTGTGATTAATCATGATTAATTACAAAAAAAAAGTGTAATTAGTTAGTTAATTTTTTTAAAATCAATTGACAGCCCTAATATATATATACACGTTTTAAAACCCTGACTTTTCCAAACCATGGTATATCTTTGAAAATGGTTATCGCCCATGCCTAGCCGACAGTAGTTTTTTTTTTTCCCAAAGCATTTTCCCAAAATATGCATCAAAATAAGATTTGTCATCAAAAATCATTCCATTTGTTGAAACAGAGAAAATTGTGGCTAAATGACTTAAAGTCACCCAAGAGTGGATGAAAGCTCCCAAACAGCACACAATGGCTAATTATAATATTATAACATTTAATGCAACACAATGCAAAATGAAATTTATATTATCATTAATGTTACACAACCCTAGTTAAAACAATTTTTACCCCTTTAAATAAACTTGTATAGTGACCAAAAAAAGTGACCTACCTAAACAGTGCCAACAGAGGGCGCCAAATAGGTGTGAAAAACACCTCTTCCATGCTGGCCACACATTGGTCCTTAGAATTGGCAGTGTTGAGACATTCAAAAGACAGAAGACAGAGAGACAGCAGGCGATCTGTTGCACATAAAAACAAATCCATTAATCACAGAAAATAAGCCAGCTAGTACATATCATAAAAGAGCCTTTTGACCAACACGTTTACGGTAGATTATGACACTCTATATAAACGCATGACACAACCGTACAGATACCTCCGGCTATAACAGGGGATTTCGAAGGCTCACTATTGCACATGTTTAGTTACAATCATAGAATAACCAGCAATTATTTACCGATCGCATTGTGGATATCTTTGACGATGGCCTTCAAATGCTCTTTCAGAGCACGTTCCTCAAGATCATGAATTTGAGACTCAAAGGTCACATCAGGGTCTGTATCATCATCATCACCACTGTGAGAAGGAACCCAGTCCAGCTGAGTTAGAAACTTCTCCAGATCCTCAAAAGAGTTTTCTCTGTCCGTGGTGAGGAGACTTGAGGAATCGTCAGGGTCGGCCTCAGACTTGGTGTCGTTGGCGTTGAGATCACGGGATGGGGAAAGGGAGATGGAGGCATCCGATAAGCTGTGTGTCAGGGCTGATTTGAAGGGGCTCTGCTGATGATGTGGAGAGATGGGACAGTCTGAGAGGAGGAGGCTATGGGCACTTCGGGAAGGCTTTAAGGATAGAGAGTGACCAGATGTTGTGTTTAGAGGAGAGCACTGGCTCACTATAGGATACAGTCTGTTATATACCCGATACTGAAGCCTCTTCAGCAACTTCATGACTGGGTGATCTGGATAGCTGGGATTGTAAAATGGATGGAAACAGATGGTTTAAGTCATTGAATAAATTTATTACCTTCTAACAATTTATCTAACACTATGAAATTACCTGAGAAGGCAGGCGATAAGACCGGAAACCAGTGCAGGATCATTTGGAGACTTTTTAAGCTTGGCTTTCCAAATTTTTGGCCACTCCTGAGATTAAATTGTTTAAATAATTAGAGGAAATGTACACATTGGTTTTCATTCAGAAAAGATGCAGTAAACATATCATGCGTATAAAAACTGTAGTTGCTAAATATTTACATTTCAAATTAATGTTGTTCTTTAGATTTAAAATAAAAATGTTTCCACAAAAAATGTATATGCCTGAGTGTTGAGCTGTAAAAATGTTTCTTCTGCAACAAATATTAGTTTACTGCCACAAAATAATTTTAAAATATATAAAAATGATTGGAAACTTATTTAAAATTGCAATTATATTTGACAATAAAATTGCATATATTTTATATTTAAAATATATAGCTATAATGTTATAATATAATGTATTTTTGAATCAAATAATTACAGATTTGCTAAGAAAAGGTGTCTTTCAGAACATTTTAAACAAGTGTGTGTATAATTAATATGCATACAAACTATATGCTACACAATATAAACACTTACATGATCCTGTTCATATTCAAGCACACTTGCATACAGAACTCGCTGCTCTTGTTCCTCGGGTGTCATTGTTCCACAGGTGGCAAACCTTCTACAAAATGCACAATTTCGTATACAATAATCAATACAGTAAAATTATAAAAAATTCAAACAGGGCTTCTTTTGCTATTCGTATGTCATGCACTCGACCCCAAGCAACTCTATATAAGGCAAAAACCCACGTTAAAATGTAAGCCACAAATGACCATCTAAATGGCCCTAAAAGGTCAATGGAAGGAGAACAGCCTCACCTGTTAGCTTCTTCCTGCAGCCGGAGTCTCCTCTCCTCCATTTTTCTTTGAAGCTGCAAGTGCTCAGGAAAAAAAACTCAACAATTTGATAAAATTACCACATTAAAAAAAAAAAAAAACCTTACCCGATACACATTAATTATGCTCACCCAGCATTATGTTTGCTTTTCAGTTTTCCCATATAGTATAATGGCAGAGCATTTTGAAGAAAAAAATGACAAGTTTGCCCTGAAATTACATTAATTATTTCATATTATTTCATTTCAATTATTTTATACTATACTTGCAGGGAAAATATAACAAATGACAGCAGTCTTGATAATAAATAAGCACAACATAAGTATCTCAAAGGTCAACCATTGATGTTTAACTTTGAACTTAAATAAGACTTAAATTATTAATACTTAATACTTAAACTTGTGAAATAGTGTTTACAACAGCATAACCAATTGGAAAAATGTATTGACTGGAAAAAAGGGTGATCACAAGCTACCATGTTTTAACATGTTCAACTCCGAACACATTTTACCACATAATCGCTTTCAAGTACAATGAATAAGCGTATCATCAGAATAACAATACTGGAAAGGATACAGCATCTTGTCTGGCTTTAGCTATTATCAGGTTCTCCATCATCTGCCTCTGGAGTGAGAGAGTCTGTATTAAGAAAAAGAAACAAAGAGCATCGTTATTATGCATGTTAAGCAATTTTACACAATTTCATTTTTAAATATTTAATGGTAGAAGAAAAAAAAAAAAAAAAGAAATATTTATATTTATTATTTTTGCTGGTTTGGTTTTAAATCAATGACCTTTTGCCTGATTGAGATGCACTTTAAAGTGGGTCTCAAACCGGACTAGTATTGCGTTAAATACCATTGCTCGTCACCATATCTTTAAAATATGTGCATTTGTTTCACCACAGTATTTTTATTCTTATATTTTATGCTTGAACAATATCAAATGTTTAAGTCTATTTAACTGCCTATATTTTGATTAAATTACATCAATGTTGTAAAGGGAACCATAATAAATTAAAATGAGGGGTGTGGTAAGGTATTTTTAAATTATTATTATACGCAAGAAAGAACAATTACAAAGATACAATATAAACAAAGAGACGAAAAAGGGTTGCATAAATAAAATTCTAGTAAATTAAACAAGTTTAAATGATTTACACTAAGAAAGAGTTTTACATATAATGTAATTTTTTAAGAAGTTCACATATAAATCAAAGTCCTTTCTGAAAATTAAAAAATAAGGATGTTTTTTTTTATGTAAATTTTTGGATGTAAAATTTAGCCAGAAAAAGCAATATTATTAATAATAAATTTACAATGAGAAGGATTTAGGTTCAGAGAGTAACCAAAGAATAAAATATTGGGATAAATACAAAAGTTCGGAAATAAAAATTCAATGAAATTGGAAAAGTCAACCCAAAACACTTTACAGTCAGCACACTCCTAAAATAAATGATTTAGTGTTTCGTCATATTGAGTACAAAAGGAGCATTTAGGGGAAATATTGTTATTAAATGTAGCTAGTTTGGTATTTATTGGGCAGCAATTATGAATGATTTTGATTGAGACTTCAACAGCTTTATTAGATAAAAATATTTTTTTCTGAAGAAGCATTAATAACTAGGCGTGGTTGAGTATATTGTGGTTAAAGCCATCAAACTGACACAAGAACTTTGGTCTTTAATTAAAGATTACCATATTTTTTTTCAGTGGATTAACAAATTAATTATTCTCCTAAAGAGTAACAGTGTGCACGAGCAAAATAAACATATTAACTTTGGATTTCACTCAGGCTATGACTGGACAGCACTGCTTCCACAAGTGATACATTACATTGCACTGACTTTTACCTATTATTGTTTTATTAATGTTAAAAAAGTCATATAAACAACAAAAATTACAAAGTTATCTGTCAGTAAGTTAACGTTTAACAAGTCTGCGCGTACTGTATAAAACAACCCGAATAGCCTAAAAATAACGTTAATATCGTGTCACATTAAAAAACACACAATTAAAACAACAAACAGCGGTTATCTTATCTTCACAACACGCAAAGCAAGTAAAAATAAACCTTCATCAAAAACAAACCTTCCAAAATGTCTTGAGTTTCTTCCAATATAAGCGGAGATCCATTGCTGTTTCTCTGCGTCTACGAATCATTGTTGATAACTTGACAAGACTGACTCCCGCCGAATAACAAAGATTAACCCGCCACCAAAACTCAAAAGAAACCACTAGCGATATTGCTCATTAAACTACGACAGTGTTGAGTTCTTCAAGCGACCGCAATTGTACAATAAAGGATCTTTGAGCGGTCCAACTATGGCTCTGTTCTTCTGTTCGCCAGGCTGAATCTCACATTCACTCCTGGCGTCACAGTAGCACGTGGACACAGACATGCGAGCTCAGTGAATCGCGCAAAGCCATTTAAAACAGGAGGTGTGGCGTCACAGCTGTTCCACGCAAGCGAAAAATAAGGTAGCAAACGACAAATGCATTTACGATCTAAAATGTAGTAATAAAAATATAAATGTGTTTCATCAAAGAAAAACAATCATTTTGAGGGAAAAATTTCTTTGGAATTCTCTAACAGATCAAATTAATTGGAAAAAAAGCTTGGCTCTTAGCTTACAAACTGTGTTCCCAACAAAGTTAAAGAATTACATTTAAAAGTTACACAATATCTACCCCACAAACGAGATTGTATTTAAATTTGGTAATACTAATTCAAATTGTGTCTTCTGTAACCTAAGTATCGAATCGATTTATCATCTTTTTGTCAAATGCCCACGTTAAAAGTGTTTTGGTCTGATTTATCTGTATTTTTTACATCATGTAAGTTTAACAATAATTTTCCCAATGGTGATTTAATTTGTAACTTTTCTCATGACAAACATAACAGAATTTATAGGCAAATTATTTATTTTATTGGGTAAATATTATATTTAAAAATGTAAATTTTAATTACTACTTAAAGGACTTTGTAAATATTTTTAATTTGATAGTTTGCCTCTGTAATCTTATTTTAATATTTTTATTATTATTATTAATTGTCCTTGTTTATTTTTGTACTTAATGTCATCCAAACGCTAATTTATTGGTTAAGTGTCCTGTTCATACACGCACATTTTCATATAAATATACTTTTCTTTCGTCTCTAATCATAATTTATTTACCTTAAAATATTAATCACCAATTGATATATTGCTCAATAATGTTTGTTTGTTTGTTTAGATTATATTAACCCTAAAGGAAAACTCACGCCACAGCACAGCTCTCCATACTATAAGATAAATAAAATAAAATAGCTTATATGTTCATATATGTAATACATTGCTTCTCCCAGCCCCTTTTACCTACAAGATATTATTTGTTACTATAAAGGTAAAATTAATATACAAGAGAACTACATGATTATCTTTTTTATTTTGTATGGAAAATATTTTATTCACGAACAAAAAATAAAAAATCAAATTTTTTTAATGGAAATTGATATTTTTACTTAAACTGGTTAAAACAAGAAAAGTGATAGATTCTTGGATTAATATAATTATTTTGAAAATCAATTATGTATCACAGATACAAATGTGATTCTTACCTCTTGCTGTATTCGTGTTATTTATGCATCTCTGTTTAATTTTTTTCCTCTTTTGTTTTAAATATGTTAATATTTTTTAGCCTGATCTGTTATTACCTCTGTTACTATTATTGTCCTTGTTATATAAGATCGAATTTTGTATGTTTCTTACAGAAGTCAATAAAAAAGATAAACAAAATATTATTACATATATATATATATATATATATATTTATTTATTTATTTATTTATTTATTAATACAATATATAATACAATATATATATATATATATATATATATATATATATATATATATATATATACAATTACATTAAAACTGCACATCTTAGTTTCAAACAATGAGTAGACACTAGTCCATATCTACATTGTTAATGCTATTACAATTTAGCATAATTCATCTAGTATGACTTTGGTCATACAATCTGATCACTGTTGGTAAAAATGACTCCTTGTAACACCGGGGCTGAATTAATCTTGAGCTAAAAGAGCTTGCACACGTTGGACTGTATCAAAAAGGGGATGACTATCATGGTTCATCATATTGACAAATTTGTCCATCATTCGATCATGTGCAATCTCTTCTATAGTGAGTAGTACACACCCCACAACAGAACCAGCCCTTTTTAAAAGCTTATTTAATTTGCTTTTCTCCTTCTCTAACGTTGATTATGCTTGTTTTATTTAATTTGTTGTCATAATAATTAAAATACTAAGTTTTTCTCACACAAAAAAAGAGTTATATATTTTATAAAAGCTATTACAAAATGATTTTATTTATTAGAAAGTTCATTTGAAACTTGAAATTTAAAAAAGACTCTCATGATATATTCTGTTGAAGTAAGAATTATTAGCCTTCCTGAATTATTAGCCGTGTATATTTTATTCCCCAATTTCTGTTTAATGGAAAGAAGATTTTACAACACATTTCTAAACAAAATAATAACTAATAACTTATTTCTAATAGTAGATTTATTTTATCTTTGCCATGATGACTACATAATATTTTACTAGATAGTTTTGAAGACACTAGTATGAGCTTAAAGTGACATTTAAAGGCTCAACTAGAGTAAACAGGTTAACTAGGCAGGTTAGGGTTTGTTTTCTGTAGACAATCGAAAAAATATATAGCTTAAGAGGGCTACTAATATTAACCTTAAAAAACTTTCCTCAGAAGAAAAACATTATAGGAAATACTACAAAAAATCCCTTGCTTTGTTAAATATCATTTGGTAAATATAAAAAAAAAAATTATCACATGAGGACTAATAATTTTGACTTCAACCGTATGTACATAGAATATACGCATTCATGTATTCATTACCCAGATTAGAATAAACATACACAAGCATTTTCACAGTCCTTTTTTCCTTTACAAACTTACATATACATTTCCTAGACTTACCAGGGAGGTTTTTTGAGTGGCCTGACCAGGGGTTAGTCTTGCCAGCCTTGCTTCGTAATTAGCCTTAAGTTTCTGGTTTAGACGTGACGCTTCTTCAATAGGCGTTAATTCCCTGTCATACACACACACATGCAGACCTCTTAATGTTGTTCCTCCCAGTGACACGAAAAGAATGTGGTGCACTACAAACTTCCATCATATGGATGCAGAATAGATTTCTTCTCTTTCACAGAGCTGATAGCCTTGAAAGATCAATCGTCTGGGCCAGCGAACGGTGGAAGTGCACGCAACTAAATGATGTGCTTAAAATGAACCATGAATTCCAAAAAAAAATGACTGAACATTAAAACAAAGTTTTGGATAAGATGTGTGGAGTTTTAAAAATAGAAATAATTATTTACATTTAAAAGAAACCGTTCTCTTCCAGAGGCATGATCCAGATGAAAAACAAACTCGACATATTGTATTGCTTATAACTTTTGAATTATTACTGACATAACATAATAAATAATACATTAAATACAAAAAGTAACAGGCTTTTAGCAGCTATTCTGTCTCTTGTTAATTCAAGCATAATGTTCTTGGGGAATTTAATTAAATAAAATGAAAAACACAGCTACAATGTAGAAAGTATAGTGAAATATTACATATAACACCATTATTAAAAGCAGAACCTCTGGGATAAAGAGACAAAATAGCATAATTAAGATGAAATTGAATATATTTTTCTTCAGAGATATTCATGTCATGTTTATGTTTCTTATCTTGTCTGTCAGCATATCTCTGGGAACCAGATGTGAACTCATCAATCAATGGATATCAGGACTCTGCACCTAAAGGATCCTCCACATTCTCCTGTTATGAAACTCTGTGGCTTGCTGACTTACTTTCGATTGTCTTGTGACTCCACGGTCTGAAGTTTCTGGAAAACTTCAGGTGGCAGAAAGGGGGATCCGACCTCCCCTCCCTCAGAGAGGACTCTACGATGTCTTGTGGGCAATTCCTTATCTTGGGTTTCAGAGAGCAACGATACCTCATTTGGTGTTTCTACAGAAAGAAAAGTTTGTACATATAAACAGTGGTATCAAGTAACAAATTACAAATACTTAAAACTACTGTAATTGTGTAGTGTTTCTCAGAAATTGTAATTTACTAAGTAGTTTTATAAATCTGTACTTTTACTTTCCCTTGAGTACATTTTTAGTGCAGCTTTTACTCTATTACTGTCCTTCAACCTGCAGTCATTACTTTATTTTTTTCTTGTTTATGGAGATTAGAAAATTCAGTCCTGTGATTCCGTCCAATCAAATCGCAGAAGGTAAATCGAATCATAATGAACTACCTCAAGACATGGACGATTTATAATTGCAGCAAACTGTTTGGAAACATTTAAAGTGTCCAAGAAGATGTCCAAAATCTTTACACACATTCACCCTGAGACTGTTTAGATGCATGTCACTGATGAGAAGATGAAATATGTTTACTGTTTGATGACCGAAATGGCCTTAAACACCCAGCAAGCACAACATGTCAACACAACATCAGATTGACATTGTACCCCAACGTCGTGGGGATGTAGCATTTTGTTTGCAAATGAAAATCGGGTTGACGTCAGAACCCAATATCAGGCAGACGTCAATGTCCAACGTCCAACCTAAAATCAACCAAATATCAAAGTCTAATGATGTTACAGCTTGATATTGTGTGGACGTTACCAATATGACGTCTATCAGACGTTGGATTTTGGTTGCCATACGTGACAAATAAATGTCAGTATTTGACATCAATATGATGTTGATTTAGGATGTTGGCTCGACGTTGGATTTTGGTCACTTTCCAACCCAACCTAAAATCAACCAAATATCAACGTCATTTAACATCATTATTGCTCGTCAAAATTAGATTGTCCTTACAGCGCAATTCTCACTACTCACTACTCTTGAGTACTTTTGAAAGGGCTACTTTTTACTCATACTTTGAGTAATGTTTACAACAGATACTTTAACTCTACTTGCACTACATTTTTAGGCAAGTAATGGTGCTTTTACTTTTTTACTGATTTTTCAGTACTCTGTCTACCACTGCATATAACACAGTATAATAGCTTTCATTAATCCAATACCTCATAAAAACAAGTTTATACGCTGTTAACCATTGGTAAACAAGTTTGTAAGAATTATAAAAGAAGGCTGCATTAATTGATTTCAGTAAATATTGTTAGATATTATTACAGCTTAAAAGAACCGTTTATATTTGAAAATAGATTAAAAAAAAATTATTTCTTTGATTTTTCATTAGCCTTTGACACGATTCTTTACAAATCTTGCATGATAAGGATTAGATGCAACATTTATATAGAAGAGACAACAAAACGTATATTTTAAATAGAAAAATTACAATTATTTCATAATTCATAATAATTAAAAATAATACATAAAAACCATTCTAAATGAAATGCATAAATACAATCTGATGAAGGATCTGAGGATCATTGTGGCAACCAAATTGTGGCTTCAGGAAAGCAACCACTTACGTGTTATTTCATTTTCTTTCTTTCATATTCTTCATTTTTTCATCATAATACAATCAGTATTAATTCATATATATATATATATATATATATATATATATATATATATATATATATATATATATATATATATATATATTTGTCTTTCTTAATTTAAAATATATATTTATTATTACAAATTTTCTATAGTTACTTCTTTAGCATTATTTTTCCTCTTACCTAATTATTATAATCCTATTATTGAGTGGTTTCAAGGAATACTTGTTTTCATGAGTAAGAGATAAGAGAAAGTCTCCATTTCAAGGTTTGAAATGTCACTGGATGATGTTTTGAAGCAGTAACTTTCCATTGCTGTTGCTTGTGGATAGGGATAGTTTCTTCTAAAAATAAAAATGGTGTTATCACCATCAAGTGGTTGCAAATAAGTTAGAGTTTTTTGTACTGTTAAACACAAAAAAAGATATTTCGAAGAATGTTGAAAACTGGTAACCATTGACATTGATAGCGGGGGAAACAAATACTATGGAAATCACTGGTTACCACCAGTTTCCAATATTCTTCAAAAAAGATCACATTTTGTAGTTATCAGGGAGAGAAAAAAAAAACTACAAACTGATCTGGAACAAGTAAAAGGTGAATGATGAAAGAATATAATCTTTTTAGTGAACTATCCCTTTAACCTTTGTTTGATTTGTACTATGGCCATACATGATAAATGCACTATATAAATACACATTAACTACTTATTTTCATTATTTTCTTGTTTAATGTTTTTGTGAAAACTGTCATTTTTTTGGTCACACTTGAAAAAGATAAATATAGATCTAGCCCCGGATGCCAGATCTTGTTAGATAATGTGCAAAAACTTAGTATGACTAGTACAAAGCGCTAAACAATTATGAGGGGGTCTCTCTACACCACACCAGTGTGTGGCGTTCACTTGGATGATGCGACAATAGCCACAGGACAATGGCAGTGCGCTCACCACACACCAGCTATTGGATCGGAGAGACAGTGATAGAGTCAATTCGGTAGATGGGGATGGTTGGGAAGTCATGATGGGTAAGGGCAGATGGAGGGATTTTGGCTAGGCTTTAACGTTTTATCCGAAAGACGGTGCTCACTGAAAGTATAGTGTCCCCTTCAGTTTACTGAGGCATTAGGACTCACACAGACCGCAGGTTGAACGCCCCCTGCTGGCCTCTCTAACACCCCTTCCAACAGCAATCTGGTTTTTCCATGTGGCCTCCCATCCAGGTATGACAGGGATGTCAAACTCAATTCCTGGAGGGCCTCAGCCCTGCACAGTTTAGTTCCAACCCTGCTTCAACACACTTACCTGTAGGTTTCAAACATGCCTGAAGGACTCAATTAGTTTGATTAGGTGTGTTTAATTAGGGTTGAAACTAAACTGTGCAGAGCTGCTGCCCTTTAGAAATTGAGTTTGACATCCCTGAGGTACACTCTTGAGCTGAAGGTTGATATGGCTGTGGAACTAATGTGGAACACTTATAATGCTGAGCATCACCATTAAGTAACAACCAGTTCAGCATGTTAAGCCTTTAAATATCACTTTAAGCTGTATAGAAGTGTCTTGATAAAAAGCTAGTACAATATTATGTACTGTGATCCTGGCAAAGATAAAAAAAATCAGTTATTAGAAAAATGAGTTGAAATGAGTTGAAATGTGTTGAAAAAATCTTCTCTCCGTTGAACAGAAATTGGGCAAAAAAATGAACAGGGGGGCTAATAATTCTCACTTCAACTGTGTATTAATTAAGATATTTAAGAAGCATGGTAAGTGAAAATAATTAACAAAAAAAATTTAAATAAAACAATGCTCAAGCCAGTTAGTCTCCTTTGAAAATGTGCGCTCCATATCAGCTTGTCTTTGTTTTGATCTGTAAAATCCGCCCACTGCCAGTTTACCCAATTACATTGCAGCACCACAGGTTGCCTTAATGGAAAACACAATGCTTTTTATTTCAGCCATGAAGGCTGCCTTAATATATGCAGTCACAGCCAAACAAATTCTAATTCTGCAGGACAGTTTAAGCCTCCGACATGAGACACAGATAGAGTTATAAAAATCCCCATGCAATGGTTATTAATTAGCAAATAATATAAATATTACAAATGTAAACAATAGCTGAGCAGGTAACAGTGAACAGATTTATAGTCAGGCATGTTTGCTCTTATTGATGTCGTCAATCTGGCAACCTTTGTTTTTGTGGAGTCATAGGAGGAGGGGCTGGGTGAAAAATAACCCTCTGTAACAGTGGTTCTCAATCTCGGTCCTGGAGGTCTGGTGTTCTGCAGAGTTTAGCTCCAACCTCAATCAGACACACCTGGGCTAGCTAATAAAGCTCTTACTAGAAACATCCTTGCAGGTGTGTTGAAGACCAAGTTTGAGAACCTCTGCTCTATAATTTATTGAACTTTGACTGCAATACCTAGTTCAACCACAAGTTCCAAACATACACACTTCACCGTTAATGAATTACTTTTAATTTGCTTAATCTCCTAAGAAAAGAAAATAAAGTCTCACCTGTCATTTTGGGCTGGCTTGTTGCATTCATAGCTGGAACAGTGGTCAGAGAAGCGGAGGAGGTGACAGCCGGAGGGGACTTTTGCTTTCTTATTATGCATGATTTGACCCTCTCTAAACATTGCTCAACAAGTTTCACCATCTTCTCCAGTTCCACAAACTCCATCTCTCCCTCCTCTGCAAGACAACACGCATAAGAGTCATGAGCCTAACACACTACTCATTCAAACATTCAGTACAAAGATGTACTGCTTTGTGATCAATCAGGCAAATCCCCATAAACCAGAAAAGTTAATCATGAACAAACCTTTATCTTAATGTAGCTTTAAGAACCATTTAATGCAATCAGCGGTTAAGATATGCATTCACTGTGTTGTCATGATGAAGCACATTAAGTTGTTTGACACATAAAATCTCTTCCGTAAAAGTCCTACTGTTCTCTTTTGAGATAGGAAGCTGGCTGACACCTCATGACAATGACTAGCAGAGGTGGTGACATAACCTCTGCGGTCTACAAGCATAGATATCTTTTGAAGTGAAGGTTTAGAGGATGCTTAATGTCATTTCCGAACTAGTTTGAAGTGTAAATAACTTACGTTTAGATGTGGCGTCTTCAAGCAGAGCGTGGGAAATGTAGTTAATGCTTCTTAAGTATTCACAGTAGGCCTCCTGTAAAAGGATATAAATAACCACAGTGGGTGGAAGGAAGATTTTATTGCATCTATTCATCAACTCAGTGCTATAGAGTTAGGCTGCAGTTTTTACTCTATGTCCTGATTAACTTTTTTTGTTAAAAAGTTTTATTAAAGAGCCCCTACTATGCTTTATTAAAAGTTAATTTTGGTATTGGCGGTCTCCAACAACAGGCTGATATGCGTGCATGGTCAAAAAATGCTTTCTTTGTCTAATAATATGCATTTATTTTTACCTAATTACCTCAAATAGGTTGTATTCACATGACGTCATTGATGACGCACTAAATTCAGATTGACGGTAGGAAGTGATTCTTCTACATAGGAATCACTATCAGAACATAAAAAATGTTTCTCTTTTATGTTGTTTATTGTTGTTTAAAGTGGCCAAAATAAGAAATGCCAACAGCTTTTATAGAATTCCAAAAGTTTTTGCAAATAAATAAGGGAAAGTTCAAGAAACTGGCTGAAAAATGGAAGAAAAAGTGGCATGTAATGAACATTTTTTCAATAGTGAACAAACTGTTTTTGAACACTCTAATTCCTTTAACAGCACTAATAAAGTTCATATACAGTAATAGCTATGTTCATAAATATGTCAATGTGTTATATAAAAATCAAACACAAACACCACTTATACAAAATCCAGGAGAACATAAATAACGTACACTGCCATGTAATCGCTGCAATGAAATCTCTTGTTTTGTAATAATCCAAGTCTGGAGTTTCGACCGAATAAGCAACCGTAACGTTAACGTCTATAAGCGCAGCAGTGGTGAATGTTTGTTGATGGTAAGTTCATTGCCAGAACAAAAATTAAATGCAACCCTTGAGACAAAACTAGACGGTTATTATTGTGGAGCACTTTTTCCCCCTTACAAAAATAAATAAATAAAAATTAATGTAGACTATGCGTCCACACTTTTGTCTGCTTTCCTCTGTTATATCGTGATTTCTGGAAGATATCCGCATGGGGAAAAACTAGAGTAATTTACAATAAACATGTTTTTGAAGCACATAGTTAAATGTATAATGTGTACAACTATATAGAATACTGAAGCATAGTAAACTGATAAACTGCAATAAATAACGCTAGTGTCAACTGTGGTGCATTGTGATGGTGTATAATTATAGCGCAGAAAACTGGAGCCTACTGAATAATTTGTTTATTACTACAGTTGTGTTGTACCACATCAACAATATAATTACTACGACAGTTTAATTCTAGTAATTATCTATAGTATTCTTACAAACACTATAGTATTTACTATAGTATTTTTCATGTAACCTAATAGCTTATACAGTATATGCCGCCTCGATGACAGGCAAATATATTTTAGTTCAGTAGAAAACTCGGCTTTCTTCATGATATAAAGATCATGCCCAACATTTGTGCTTATTTTCTATTTATATGTCCTTTAAAATATGGTAAAAATCGCAAAAATATGGATTTTCCTCCATGTCTCGCATTAAATTAAAAAAAAAAAAAAATTCTTCCTGCCGTCCATCTGAATTTTACGCGTCACCAGAACCACACTATTGAAAACAACCTATATGGTAATGTTTTGTGTCAGTGTAAACATGAAACGGCTAAAGATTTAAAACCAAGATGACTCATATAAACGACTCTGAGTCGACTTTATTTTGAGAATCAATAGATTTAAACATGATGCACTTTCAGATTTAAACCTTAGCTGGATGTTCACTTTCAATTAGAGCTGTGTTAGCTGTCACATAATAAAGGCTCTTTACTTTAAACGTGTAGAAACTATGCATTTAGCGTATTGATTACATAACCAGTTTTACTATAAAAACCATTGATAAGCTATAGTTAGTGTGGCAAAACCATCAACAACCACCATGGTTTATTTGTGTTATGTGTAGTGGTTAATTTAGTAAAAAGGGATGAAGAACAACACAGACATGCTGATATTGAATAATACAACACAGCATGATGATGCTGTTATTGTTGGCACTTCAAAATGCCCTGAATAATTTGATTTTATTTAATTATTTAAAGTTAATTTTAAAAATATCCATATTGTTAATACATTAACTAATGTATTAGTGAGATCTTGTTGTAAAATGTTACTTATAGTACAGCACAATAATAATTTGAACATAATTATACAGTAAAACAGTGGTTCTCAAACTTTTTTCATCAAGTACCACCTTCGAAAAAAATTGTCTCTTCAAGTACCACCAAAATGAGCAGTATTGAAATACAGTAGTGTAGTAGGCCCAGTAAAGCAGCTACAACTCTGCACAGTTAAAAAACCTGGCAGATTGCCTCAGAAATATAGCCTATATATAATATATGGCATATTATATACATAATTTTTTATAAATTTTGAATTATATGTAGCATGTACATGACATATTTCATTCCTCCGTGTACCACTGGAAGGAAGCCCGCGTACCACTAGTGGTACACGTACCACAGTTTGAGAACCACTGCAGTAAAATAAACAGCATATGCCAATATAGTGAAATATAGACCATACTGAGGGATGTAAATAAAAACAATGGTCTCAACGTATTTACTTTTTTACATTTTTAATTTCTATAGCTTCCGAGAATCCAAAAAGAGCCACGTATTGATAAATAATGTTATGATAGCTGTTTTAATAATAAATTAAGTTTGAATTGCCTTTTTACAGTTAAGAAATAGTTTGATAACAAGCAGACAATGTTTATGGGTCAATGACATGACCACATTGAAATGGTCTATAGTGATCAAATGAAAGTAAATTTGACACCTTCTTTGGCCTAAAACACAATATAACGTAATGTAAACTCCGTTATCTTAATTTACCCTGAAATATATTTGTGTTTATTACTAGATGAACTCCTTGTCAAACCTTTATTAATGATAATCTAATTTCAGGATACTAGGAAAGAGGTATTTACATTAAACTGACTGACATCAAAATGTAAACATTCCACATCAACACTAAACTTTGTTTTTTACCCTGACAAGATATTATCAGCACATTTACCCGCAGATGTTGTTTTTGGGGTAAAATGCTGGTCAAATTTTGGGGCTTCTGTCAGTGTTTACGCTGACGTCACTCCCGTTACTTAGCTGGACCAAACGGCAGTTTTAAAGATGTAAACATGTGTACCTTGTGTTTGTTGCCGGTGTCCAGCTGAATGGCCACTTTTACGAGTCTCATGGCATTTTGCAGAGGTCTCAGGCTGCTGTCACCGAGAGGAGCTGCCATCCTGCCAAAACAATCGCGTGAGCCTCACTGACCGCTACTGCATCTGCTGACGTCACTACTACGCTTTCAAAATAAAAGGCCGACACAAGTACACCGTATATTTCAACATATATTTTATAATTTTGTGTCGTTGCTTTGGAATATAATATAAGGTATGATTGCTTAAAAACACCTCAGCAGGGGCTTTGTTAATGCTCTTCTTGACATTGACATATACACCTCTAACTCCTAATTTCTTATGTTAAATCATTTGCATGGTTTGCCATTTGAAGATTAAATTTTATGTTTCCCAGGATCATATTATACAACAACTGTGCCTTAGTTGAAATACTTATTATTTAATAAATAATAAACAAAAAGTCATTCAATATGATAAACAGGATGATGTAAAAATGTGGTGATTAATATGCCAGATGCCTAGATCTGTATGGAAATGAGTGGTAATTATTTAATATTGGCTATATACGATCATTAATATTTAGATTTTTTTTGTGTGTCCTGTACCATTTTTTACTTTATTATTATCTTTTTTTACATGTAAGTACATCAACAAACCACTTAAACAGCCTCATAATTTCAAAAAGTAAATAATATTTTATATACGCACACTAAAACTATTACACAACATTATTAATGTTAATTAAAATTAACACAGATGTCAAAACATATATGAAGATACCTTTTTTTTATTCTGAGCAAAAAACACCACAGAAAGTAATGTAAATAGTTCTCTTTAATACCGTCTTAGCAGTTTTACAATGGGGGAAACAGGGATCAATTTGCAGTCTTTTAAAAAACACTTCCTCATTGAGGCCACACACACATACAGATGGAGAAGTTGATCTTATGTGGCAAATTTCTTTTGTTTGATGGGCGCAGGCAACTGAGCGGTAATGTCCTCGAGAGGCCGTTCAACCACCACCAGAGACTGATCGCCCATCACATCAACACACAAGAGCTCCTACAAGACAGAAAGAAAAACACCTGAGCACTTTCCAGCCAAAATTTCAGGAACAGGAAAAGAGGTAATGTGGTTCACACACACCAACCTTGAATGTCTTGCAGACTTTAAAAGCATGGCTGTAAGATTTCCTCTGTTCCTCAGGGAGGCTCCTCAGTGTAAGCTGATTCAAGAACTGACTTTTACTATCAGGCAGTGGCTAGAAAAGAAACATTCAAAATGTAAATGCATTTTAAAGAGCCCACATAATGGGTTTATGAAAATGACCTTTCGTGCAGTGTGTAACACTAAAGTGAAATATCCAGCTAAGGCTTAAATCTGAAAGTGCACCCTGTTTAAAACTATTGATTCATCTATAAAAGAGTCGACTCAGAGTGGTTTGAATGAATCGTTAGGGTAACGAATCTTTAGCCATGTCGACATGACGTTGATACCAAACTCAAGCCCTGTTTTTTTGTTGTACGAGTAGACCTGGGAAATTGAAACCCACAAACAAATCGCCCACAAACAAACTTCAGCTTTTGCCACTGTGGATTAATACTGAATGTGTGTCACTGTTTTTACTTTTGGTTTAGAATCGAGCAATATGCTAGTGCTTAACTGCATTGCTTTAATGCACTCCTGCATTGGGCTCACACATACACTCTGCAGTCTGACTACTTCACCAATGTTGATAAGCTCGCGCTGAACATAGCCGAACAATTGCAACAGACTGGGTCATCGGACCAATTAGTGCAGATTAGCATTGTGCTAACGAGGGGTTTGGGAACAAATGCTAAACGAATCATATGGGATAATTAGGTAAAAAAAAAATGCATATTATAGGACAGGGGTGGCCAACCCTGTTCCTGGAGAGCTACCTTCCTGCAGATTTCAGTTGCTACCCATATCAAACACACCTGAATCAATTAATTAGGACCTGAACACCATGTGATAATTACAGGCAGGTGTGTTAGATATGGGTTGCAACTGAAATCTGCAGGAACGTGGCTCTCCAGGAACAGGGTTGGCCAGTTATTATAGGACAATGTTCCCTGTTATAGGACAATGGCTGTGTCCGAAACAGCATACTTCCATACTATATAGTACGCTAAAATCAGTATGCGAGCCGAGTAGTATGTCCGAATTCATAGAATTCGAAAATCAGTAGGCGAGAAGTACCCGGATGACTTACTACTTCCAGCGAGGTTCTGAAGTGCGCATCCCATGCACGCTGCGCTATCCCATAATGCCCCGTGAGAGAATTCATGAATGGAAGTTAGGCGACGCAACTGACGCAAGTAGGTCACGTGACCATGACAAAATGGCGGATGTAATACGTCCGAATTCCATTCATACTTTTCACATTCATACTGTATAGAACGTACTTTTCTCACGGCTGAGTAGTACGTTTAAATTCAAATGCAGTACCTACTGACTAGTAGGCGGTTTCGGACGCAGCCAATGTGTTTTTTGACCTGCATATTAGCCTGTTGTTGGAGACCCCCCAAATCAAAATATTTGTAAAGCATAATGGGGACTCTTTAAATCAGGGGTCACCAATTCTGGTCCCGGAAGGCCAGTGACCCTGCAGTGTTTAGCTCCAACTTGCCTCAACACACCTGCCTGGGTATTTCAAGTATACGAAGTAAGACCTTGATTAGCTGGTTCAAGTGTGTTTGATTGGGGTTGGAGCTAAAATCTGCAGGACACCGGTCCTCCAGGAACAAGTTTGATGACCCCTGCTTTAAATAAATAAATACATACTGATAAAAACACCACAAATAGAAATATTAAGTTCACAACCCCATAAATTCAAAACAGGTCAGGTGTTTTAGATGTTACTATCTGTATGTTAGTCTTTTTTATTTAATGTTTCACAATCTAAACTGAGAAATGAAAAGAGGGTGGGACAGAGTAGGACATAGATAATTTCCTCCCCTTTTAAAGCATCCAATAGAGTTTAGTTTTCACCACAGCTCTACCAGTGAGAGTGGTTGAGCTAAAGTGCATCAAATGAAAAGCAAAAAAGAAGCGTGTTGAAGGGGTGGGGCATGTCAGATACAAGACAGCATTTGATTAGTCAAGATTTGATGAGAAATTGAAGTATGTGGTGATGTGGAAAAAAAAACGTTGATCCATTTAGGTGAAAGTGAAAAACTGCGAGTTTTAGTTGTTTACACGAGTTTAATATTCACAAATTTCACTTATACACCAACATTCAAGCATGCTATAGACCAATGAACAATGCAGTGGCTTATTTTAATTTCAAAGAAAAGAAAGACATTCAAACATGCCTTTTCAAGATTCTGTTCTTAATACTAATGCTTACAGCAGAAGTCAATGATAGACGTTTTTTTAGCCTGATATGTTTACTGTTCCAAAAAATGTGAAATGTTTCTTAAAATAAAACATAGTGTGTTCAAAGGGAAAAAGCTATTGTTTTTACCCAAACATTTAAAAAGAAAATATTTTAAATCAGTAATCACATTACCGTGATATTTTTATCCAATGTTATTATACCGTCAGATTTATACTTATACCAGCCCATCCCTAGAGGAAAACAAGATGCCTCACCTGGCTTTGGTCAATGATGCAGAACATGTACATATCATGCAGGATGACGTGAGAAGGATTCTTCTGATTAAACGTCACGTTAAGACAAGGTGTGTCTCTTTCCAGCCAAATCCTATGAAGGCCCTGCCTCTGTACCAATCTGCTCCAATCCGTGTATTCTTTCTGCTCGATGGAAAACTCAAAAATCTGAGGTAAGATGAAACAACAGAAACATATGAGATGACGAAATACTTATCATACCCAGTTCATGTGCAGGTTGCAGATTACCTGTTGATCTGCATGAACCATGAACAGACAGTTTGTTGTTGGATGGATGGCCATGGCACTGACAGCTGAACTGTATATAGGAACTGTGCAATGAGCCTGAAAAACACAAGGTCTGCATTAACCATCTGTTTGTGTTAAATGTAGAGCTGCACAATATATCGTTTCAGCATCGATATCGCAATGTGCGCATCTGCAATAGTCATATCACAAAGATATTCAATGTCAAGTCTGAAATATAGTTGACCAGGAGCTACAGAATTGTATTTAATCACAGTGTTTATATGGACTTTAAATGACTTTTGCAAGAAAGAAATAAAAAAAAAATTCTTGCTTAGAATTTTTGTCTTGTTTTTAGTCCAAATATCTACATCTTAAAGCGAAAACAAGATTATTTCACTAACTCCACTGGCAGATAATTTCCTTAAAACATGCAAAATCTTTGAATTTTCACTTATTTCTTCTGAAGGTAAAAACTAAATAACATTTTTACTTGGTTTCTTGGACTAGAAACAAGAATAAAATAAAGAAAAGCTTTTTTTTGCATTGTGATTATTCAATTACTTTACCTGAATACTGTTAGACTCCTCAGAAAACCATCACATAGTGCTATTCAAATCTTCTGAAACAATATTCATAACGCAATATTTATCGCAAAATAAAAATCAGATTTTTCCAATATTGTGCAGCCCTAGTTAAATGTATCTGTAAGTGTATACAAATGCTGTGGCAGTCATACAACACACCTTCCGTGTCTGCAGGTTGTAGATGTGAACCTCGTTGTCAATGTTTGCAGATGCCAACCATTTGCCATCCTCGCTTGCTGCAAGTAAGTGGATTGCCTGATGGGAACCTAGAAGAGAAGGGCATGATTGGTGCATAATCTTTACAATTTCAATAAAAAATAAATAAAAAAGGACAAAATTTTGATTTTACATGGACTTTAAAGACTATGAAAGGTTATTTCCACCGTGGACAAAACAACAGCCTGTAAACGGGGAAAAAGGAGGATGACGAACAACTGTCAGTTGGCTTACCAGACTAAAAATCAGACACGAAATGTGAGGAGATGCATGATTTTATAGTTTACAAAGTTAAAATGCAAAGAAACAAACAGCAAGTAATTTAATGCCATTACATATACAATAGGCTGTTTGTAATTTCATATAATATATACACATAGCCACATTTTGGTATTTCATTATAAAGATAATCATGTTTATATATAAACACTATAAATGAGTTAGACTTCCCTTCTCCTGAATCCTCG